GTGTGTGTGTGTGTGTGTGTGTGTGTGTGTGTGTGTGTGTGTGTGTGTATGTGTGTGTGTGTGTATGTGTGTGTGTGTGTGCATGTGTGCGTTTATTTCTCCCCGTGCGCCCTCTTGAGGAGACAGAAACAGAGAAAGGAAAAGAAAGAAACCATGGGGAGGTCGAGCAGCAAGCAAAGAAGAAAAAAAAAATAAATGAAAGCAGAATAAAAATCAAACGAGACAAAATACACAATCAACTCCCTCCAGGAGAAACGGGGATGGGCAACGTGCGGATCAGCCTGAGACAGACAAGGAGACAAGAAACAGATTGGAGTCTCAGTCTCTCACCTTCGACTTCCTTTATCTCGTTCATAACTGCGTGGTGCTTCACCTAATACAGAACTATTTTTCTACTGCGTTCTTAATCGCTCATGATAGAGGTATATGAAAAATAGGCATTGACGACAAGAACAAAACCGAAGCAAACAATACACTAGAACGAAGCGGCAAGTTCTGTTGTACTGAATCGGTCAGGCGTTCACGCGTGGGCTATTACTGTTTCATGGAAAAAGCGAATAGATAAAAGCACATGAAGATGCTCAAGGTTTACTATTATTGATGCATTTGTTTATTTGCGTCCGTTTGTACCTTCTAACGCGCTTTAAACAATTGGCCACCCGCTCCTCCAGAAGCGGCGCCTCGCCCTTAAAACGAAGTCTCAGGGTTGATTGGGCTCTTTGGAGATGCATAGTGTATTCTTGCAGCAGCTGAGGTGTGCATACACCGCAAACACATACAGGAGGTAGACATTCCCGACTCCTTTTCGAACCCATACACATTATGGCGCCTTCGCAAACGTTCAAACACCAAACTCCACAAACGAAAAGGAAAAAACAGAGAAATCGAAACAAAGCAAGGCCAGAGCTGAAGGAAAGACCGGAAGCGGGAAGAGGGAAGAGCACCAGAAAGCGGCAGTCACAGCGAGACAGAAAGAAGGCGCAACAGAGTGAACAAATAAGAACGAACAAAGGACTTAAACGAAGCAAGGAGAAACCGAACTGAAACGAAGCCCCAACAAAATGCTAATGAGACATTCCCTCTGTTGTGTAGCTAACAAAGTTAGGAGACCTTCACCCCCGTCACAGCAAAGCGGAGAACAAAGCACTTAAGGCCAACAAACAACCACACCGAATAAGAAACGGAAATTAGGCGCAAACTGCTGAAACGCCGAAGTGCAGAACAAGAAAATGGAGAAGCACAGAGCGCTCCAAGAAAACAAGCCATTCTAAACGACCTAAATATCATAACTGCACGAGCTAGTATGGTGAGAACACAGCGAACACCCTAGTTAACAAGACTACTGAAGATTCAACAAACTAACACTACCATCGATGCAAACAGCCACAGCAGCAGCAACAACGAATAACGGCACTTGAAAAACACCCTACAGAACAAGGCGATTGACAATACAACAACTACAGCACCAGCAGCAGCAAGCCTGTAATATACCTCTAAGAAGTCCTCGTCTGTGATGTGCTTGCTGGGAGAATCCAATTGAGTGAACGCCTCCAACAGCCACTGCGCCCTTTCTTGCAGCGTTTGCTGATCTGCCGTTGCTGCTTCGTGAGACAGAGAATCAGACAACACTGCAGCACAACAAGAAAGCAATATAAAAAAGCACCACATATATACACACTCATATACGAAACAAACGAAGAACAGAACGAACACAAGCGCTCAGGAACTGGCAAACGGAACAGCGCCTGCTCAGAGAACGACAGGCTGTACAGAAGACAGACGGACAAAGGAACCACACAAACCATCTAAACGAATCATAAACAGAACGCAACAACCGCACAAACGCAGTGAAAGGTGGGAGACACACACGCAGAAAATACACAAACAGACAAGCAACCACCAAATATGCAGACAGACGAACAACAGAACAAACAGACACTCAAGGGGAAAAGCAAAAGCATTCACAAAAATCGAAATAATGGGATTCCGACCCGTGCTCTTCATCGGAAAAACCACTAGTCACCTCTGCATTTGTTTCAACCTCGTACATACAAGCCAACTTCGGTTTCTTTCTGTGCAAAATGTGTTTTAAAGGTGTTCAACTAAGCCTTTGATTGCCCTTTCCCCTAGAATATTTATCTATTGATTCCCATTTTATTTAAATACGTTCTTAATAATACCGCGGCCACCCAAGATCGTTGATTTGAACTCAGAGGAAATATTACTTTGTTGAAACCATCTGTAAATGCGTGTGGATACGCATCCTAATAAAAACCGTATAATGGCTTTTTGTAGCGGCAGCAGCCACAGCATGAAGAGCAGCAGCAGCAGATGGCGGATGCTTGTTACCTTTTCCGACTCCGAGTAGTGCTGCCTGCCCAAGGAGTGGTGGTTCAGCATCGAATATTTTGTCAGGGTTGACGAGCTTGCAAATGAAGTTAACCCAAAAGCCTTTTGTTTCTTTTTCCAAGTCCGCTGATATCGCAAGGCCAAATGCCTCATCAATCTTTTCCTCCGCTGTCAATGCCTTGAGGCGAGTTGCAAACTGCACAGATGTTTCCCGCTCAGCAGCAGCAGCAGCAGCTGCTGCTGCTGCTCCAGGCACTGCCAAAGAACCTTCCCCAGCATTAGACATGCGATCACACAGCTGAAGAGGAGTTCCTGCCCCACCTGCTTGCGAAAAGAGAACTGAGATTTGATTTGTTACAGTTGTTAGCTGCGTCAGCACTTGCTGCTGCTGCTGCAGGAACTCGTGCTGCCCGTGTTGCTGCCGCTGCACCTGCTGCTGCAGCGACACCAGCTGCTGCTGCTGCTGCTGCTGCTGCTCCAGGTTCTGCTTCGCTTCCTCACGCAAATCCCGCAGCTGAAAACGCAAAGCTGCCAAGCCCTTTTCTGCTGTGTCGAAGTTCTGTACAGAGGCACCAAACCCTAAACCCCAATCACTAGACCCCTAGCCCTAAACCCTGAGTTCTCAACAACGGGGGCATAGGCAAGTGGATGCTCAATGCGGCGATCAAGTGCATCATTCTTACAAAAGCAAAAATTATAAGCCCGCAGGCGGCTGGGAAAAAAGACTGATGGGAGATGCACACCGCGCTACGCAGACTAGAGGAGACAGAATAGTACAAAGCAAACGCCCGAGAGCAAACGAAAAGAAACAGCAGCACAAGAGAGGGTAGGCACATAGGACAAACCAACACAACACAAACAACAAACCAAACGCAAGACAAGACAAAAATAAAGCAAAGCAGGAGACAAGCAAACAAGCCAACAAGCAACAAACACGAACCAGCAAGAAACAAAGCAGACGGAAAAGCGATGCAAACTGGATTTGGGCTTTAGCATGTCTCCTCACCTTGACTAATACGGCCTCCTGAGTTTTAAACAATTTCTCAACTGTCTCCTTGAGCTTCCAATTTGCTGTGTTATCTGCAGGAGTTTGTCGCTGCTGCTGCAGCAGCTGCAGTAGCCGCAGCTGTTGCTGCTGCTGCTGGCATTGCTGCTGTAACTGGCTATTGATCTTTTGTAGCTGCTGCTGCAGAGGAAGTACTAGTTGCTGCAGCTGCTGCTGCAGCTGCTGCTGCAGCTGCTGCTGCAGCTGCTGCTGCAGCTGCCGCCGGTGGTTGTCGATGGCGGTGGTAATTGATTTCACTTGCTTCCGTATCTGCTCCTCTATCTCATATGACAACTCGAACTTCATCGCGTCCAGCTCCTCTACCAGCTTTTCCTGCTGTGCTGCAGAAGCAGTGTCCTCGTGAGCAGCAGGCAACTGCACGGTGACGCAGCAGAACAGGCAGCACACACAAGCGCTTAAACAAACCACAAATGCAAACAATACAACACAATTAAGCTTCCGACAAGCTGAAAATGCGCATAAAGAAAAATTGGGGGGCAACGAACGAAAGAAGCAGATCCGGCGGAGGCTGCAACAAGCCAATGAAGAAACAACGGAGACAGCAAAGGGCACAGCACCACCAGCAGAGCAGAGGCAAGATCAACAAACATGAGCAGCAGTAAAACAAACCGACTGGTAGCAGCAGCAGCAGCAGCACGACAGAGCAGCAGCCCCTGTAGACGTTATTTGGCTATAATTCAACTTTCTTCCTATATTTTGCAAACGACGGACTTAACGAACATGCGGGCCTACTTAATTTCAACTCTCTCTGCACACTGTTGTATAGTACACATTTATCTATCTATAGGATTGTGAATCAGTACTGTAGGTGTTTACGACACCTTCATACCGAGACGAAATCCTTTCACATGCTGACGAGGACTGGGATGGAATTATATGTTAGAATAAATATATATATATATATATATATACATATATATAATCTAACATGTGCATATACATATATATAAGGAATGGCATGCTTGCACTATTAGTTGATATATTTAGTTTATGCGTAAGAAGCGCAACGTGTCTAATTCAAAAACCGATCAACTGTTCAGTTTGCTGCTCTCACAGATGTAGCTTTTGCTGCTTCGGCGGCCTCGCGGAGAGCACCTTTCAGCTGGGTGGAGATGACTCGCTGAACTTCTGCTGCTACAGAAGACGCCATCCGCTGCTGCTGCTGTTTGTCAGTACAGGAACACGCGTGGGACTTCATCATCGTCAAGCTCATCTGAAACGCAGCCACAGCAACACAGGTCACAGCAACAGCAGCCGCAGCAGATTCACCAACCGGGGGCAAAATGAAGTAATGAGACCAATACCGCATTACAGGGGAAGGGGACAACACCTCATGCCCACCGCGGGAGCAGCAGCAGCAATAGAGTAACAGAGTCAACAAGAGTATAAAGTGCACCAGCAGCCCCATCAAGGGCGAAAGGAGCAACAGGAACGGCTGTCTGACCTACAACACCATCAGCAGCAGCGATACGAACCACAGCAACAGCAACAACAGCAAAAGCAGTAGCATACAGAGAGCCTTTGTGGGAGGCCTTCCATGGCTTTTGAAATGAGGGACTCCACCGCCTCGTAGGTCAGCGGGCTGCTCGTGCTCGGCGCAGTAGCTCCGTCTAACTCCACCTCTCCTGATGCTGCTGCTACTGCAAGCGCAAAAAACGGAATAACGTGCGAAGGAGCATGCTGCAGCAACAGCAGCAAACCAAACAACATCGGCAGGGGCAGCGGCAATACCAGCGGGAGCAACAGCAACAGCCAGGGCAGCAACCTCGCCCACGTGCTTCCTTTGCCTTCCATGTCCTCTTCTCATTTGCAGACTGCGGCAACAGCAAATTGAAGCAAACGTAAAACAAACAACCGAATCCAAATAATTCCAACGGCGCAGCATGCCTTTGCTAAAAACATGAACATGTTTGCTTTTGCTGCTTTGCTGATGATCTTGCTTGTGGTGCTGACCTTCATCGCCTCAAAGCCAATGGCCCCTTTTGCACCTCCTGCTGCCAACGGGGACTCGGAGGCAATGCTGGACGGGGGACATGATGATCCAGAAGCCTGTTGCTGCTGTTGCTGCTGCTGTTGCTGCTGCTGTTGCTGCTGCTGCTTCCCCTTCCTGCGTCCTCCAGCTTGGCTTTGATGCTGCGCAGGCTCTTGCTTGGCCTTCCCAGCTGTACCTGTTGCGTCCGCAGGTGCTGGTGGTGCTGCTGCACCGTGCTTCGCTGCATCCTTTGCCGCTGCACATCTTGCACCATCGGCCTCAGCAGACGGCGGCGAAGCAGCAGCAGACTCGTCCTCTGTTTTCCATTGGGGGCTCAGACCTCCCTTGCTGCTGGCAGCAGCAGCAGAGCGAGGGCTACTCACCGCCTCCTCAGCAGCAGGAAGAGCTGCTGCTGCAAGAGGAGGAGATCGCCTCCCGCTGCTGGGCTCAGCAGCTGAGGCGGAAACGGTAGCTGGACCTGCGCTGCTGTTGCCATTGTTCTTGTTGCTGCCGTTGGTTCCCTTGTTGCCTTTAAGAAGTAACTGAAGCAGCCCGTTTGATGACGTGGAGTCATTTTCTGCTGCTGGTGCTCCTGCCGTCGCTCCTGCTGCTGTTGCTGTTGAAGGCGGGCCGGGGAGGGCAAGAACAATGGCAGGGTCTGCTGGGGGAGTAGCAGCAGAAATGCCAACGGGCGCAAATGGGACCTCCTGTGGGACTGCCTGTTGACCTGGCGAGCTGCTGCTGCTGCTGCTGCTGGCTCCAGCAGGAGTAGGAGCAGAAGCTGAAGCGGCAGTAGACGCCACCCCTGCTGTGTCTCCTGCTGCGGGCGGCAGGGCCGCATCTTCGGATGAAGATGTGCCCATCTCAAGCGGCGGGCCTGCTGCCGAGCTACCTGCTGTTGCTCGTTCGGTTGCCGGCGCTGCGGGAGGACGCAGCATACGCCACTGAAGGTTCCCATCTGCGGCTGCGAGTTTTGTACATTCGACGTAGTGCACCCTTAGCAGATCTGGCCTCCGCTGCACTTGCTGCTGCTGCTGCGGCGGCTGCCTGTCTTGGTCTGCCACGAATACGCAATAGCAATAGAGTGCTGCCTCCCCCCCCAAGAACTGTACTCGCTGGCCTTCTGCTGCTGGGGCCCCCGTAAGGACTGCAGCGCCTACACGGACCAGAGGTATGTGCAGACGTGTCAGCAGCACGCATGGAAGAGGCAGCATCTGTTGCTGCTGCTCCTGCTGGTGGTCTTGGTGCTGCTGGTTATGCGTATCGAAGACGCACAGGTAAGAACGAGAGACGTTTGTTCTCTTCATTGAAACACCAACCACCAGGAAGCGCTGCGTGAAGTCGGTCGTGGGCCAAGCGCGGAACTCAGACCCGATGCTGGTGCTGTTGTTGCTGCTGCTGTTGCTGCTGCTGCTAGCACAAGAGGCGATGTCCTCTGGCGAGCCGAAACAAAGGGTCTGCTGGCAGGGTCCTAGGAGAGCTGGCTTTGGGCATTGCTGCTGCTGCTGATGCTGCATCAACAACTCCCGGATACGCAGAGAGAAGATCTGCGCATAATATGAACCCTCTAAGCAAACTACTAGATAGGGAACAGAGTCTGCAGCCCCGCTGGACCCTCTGCCGTACACCACCAGCAGCTTGAACGAATCTGCTGTGCTCTCCCGTAGCAGCTGCTGCTGTTCGAGGTCCTCTTGCTGCTGCTGTTGTTGCTGTTGGTGCCTCAAAAGGATGCTCGTGGGGTCAAGAGATCCGAGGTAGGAGAAAAAAGGATTAGTGTTTGTTGCTGCTTGCTGCTGCTTCTTCTGCTGGTCTGGTGCAGGAACGGCCGAATCCACAGCTGCAGCAGTAGCATCTGTGGGGCCCGCCGGCAGCTTCATGCCGCCTAGCAGTGTGGCGCCCCGAAGACCATTTTGGTGAACCTAAAAGGAGCAAAAGCAGCAGTAGCAAAGGCAGCAGAAGCAGCAACAGTAGCAAAATCAGCAACAGCAGCGAAACTAACAGCAGCAGGAGCATATTGAGCGCCCCCCTCCCCCCACATCATTGTCTCTGTCTGCTCCCTTGTCTTTAGAGCTATTTGCTTCGCTTGCTGCTGCTGCCCCTACGACGCTCCCACTCAACTACCCTGGGCTGCCTGGCGGTCTGCCTGGAAGTGGTTTGGTCAAGCGGCGCAATTGTGTTAGGGACAGCAGCAGATGGTACTCCGGTATGCGCTCCCCCCAGTGGTTGGACCTAGGTGTCCGAACACCCCAGCTACTGTACGCAAGCGTGCGCACACCCCAGTAAAAGCGCTCAGGTGTACGTACACCCAAATTCTCGCTGCCTACCTTCAGCTGCCACGCAGTAACACTCTTATCCGTCAGCCCAACCAACAGGCATCCCTCCCTTGAGGCGAAGCAGACAGAACAAACCAATGCACTCTCTTTGCTGCTGTCCACGGTAAACGGGTCATGCGGGGAGGCTGTTGCTGCTGTTCCAGCTGCGGCTGCCGCTGCTTCCTCCAAGGGCAACGCACAGCAGCAGCAGTCCGCTGCCTCCGCCTCTCCTGCCTGCATAGCAACAAAACTTAACACCACACCCACTTCCCTGCTGTCGCTTTTGCTGCTGGCCCTGATATTTCTGTTGTTGTTACTCCAGCCCCACGGTAGCATGTGCATTTCTCTTCGAGCGCATGCACCCACCCACATATATACATGGCCTGCATCGACACGTGAATGCACGCATCCGCGTACGTATATGCACCCAAATATGTGTAACTGCAAGGAGACACAACCATGCGAACAAATAATATATAGAAATATGCACATACACAGTTACATTTATTACGCACACTCATTTGTATCTCTACGCATCAATATGTAGGTAGACACACCTTGACGCCACCCGTGCAAAGTCGGCACACACCGTAACGTGCAGATCTGATGGCCGCTCTAACCTATATATTATATATATAGGAATATACACGCATATGCACATATGCACATGTATATGTAAAGATACAATACAAATCTTCCCATATACATTTACATGTACACCCTGAGCAAGAGTGCGTCCACATTGCATCCCTATGCCACCGGTGGTTGGACGAATGTGAAGACCCAGGCACTCCTTAAGTTTGTTTGCTGCAGCGCAGCAGTAGAGCCAGCAGCAGCAAGACGCATGCATGCGCGCATGTAAAGCAGCTGCGGACTTCAAGGGGCTCAGCCTGGGGCTCTCTCCGTAGTGTAATCGCCAAAATGCGGAGTAGGGGAACAGACCAGACAGCAACTCGCCGCTGCTGCACAGTCACGAAAAAACAGCCGCCTTCTGTCTTTGTATCTTCTGCGGCGCCTCCTCCCGCCTCTTGCTGCTGCTGCTGCAGCGGCGGAAGCCAGAAAGCGTCAAGAAGAGGGCCGTGCTTCTGCAGGTCGAGCTGAAGCTGCACAAAGGGAGTCGCAGTGTCCGTAGGAACGCCAAGTGCCCCCCCTTCTTGGCCAGAGAGGCCCTGCGGGGCCCCTTCTGTGTCTGTTGGCGCCGAATGGGCCCCTGCCTGAGCAGCAGAGCTGTCTACCTTGCGCTTGTACACCACCGCCAAACCGTGGATGTCTGCTAGCAACAGAAAGTGCGGCTTCTCTTGACACAAAGAGATATGTGCTGCTGCGCGAGGGCTCAAGGACTCCGGCGGAGGCGGTGGCAGCAAAACCTAAAGAGATAAGAAGAAGAATGTAGAGGGTGTAGTGCATGCACGCATGCATGCCTTATGCAGCACACGGGGAGCAGAAAGAAAAGCCACATGCACACACAATGCATACACGCAAACAGAAAAGAACAAAACGAGCAGCACAGAAACTATAAAACAGCTGCACACAAACCACCGCAACCACCTCCACCTGCTGCTGCTGATGCAGCTGCTGCTGCTGCGGCTGCTACAGCTGCCAATGCTGAGTGAACATGGGAGGCCATAGGTAGGAAGGGAACAAAATACAACCCGAGCAACGACAAAAAAGAACAAAACCTTGCAGGCACTTAAGCAAAATAGGCACTTGTGAAAAAAACCCGCTATTCTCTTACCCTGCAGACAGAGGCCGCCTCTAGGGCCTGATGGTCAAGAACCCGCACCACCCTAACAACGCCCGGCCTGACGGCGTATGCGACGCAAGTGGCGTTCGCTCCAAGAGCTCTTGGGGGGACAACTGTAGCGCCTGGAGGCCCTGGGGAAGCCGGAGGGGGAGTGGCAGACGCCGGAAGTAGTGCTATGTCGAGCTGATAGCCTCTGCTCGCCGCGTTAGGGGTGGGGACCCCGTATTCATCTACATCAGGAGGGCTCTCAGAAAAGGCTGACTCTTCCTCTTCCGCCATAAGCACGCAACTCTTTGGGCCCCGTAAAGGCAGCAACAACATATTGGGCGCCACCTCCGCAGCACGATCCGCCACTTGCCAGCCATCTGCAGCTGCTGCAGCTGCTCCTGTTGGTGCTGCACCTGCTACGGTTTCTGATGAACTGCGCAAAAACAGGATGCACGCAGTCCACAAATGCCATGAGGATGCTGCTCTTGCACGACGGGTTGAAGGAGCAACATGTGCATTCCAGACAACCAGCCAGATAGACCGAGACACACACAGGGCCTCGCTAGAAGGGTAAACTGAAAGCATAACTGAGGGTAGTGCATGCATCACACGCTAGTTGACGCTCCCTCTACGAAGCGAGGCTGCAATGCGTTGGGTTCGGGTTGAAAATCGAAGGCGCACGGCAGTGGAAGGGTATGTATGCATATACTCCTGAATTACAAAAGACCTTTTCTTACCCTCCATTCCTGCGGTTGACCTCCTCTGGCTTGCCTAGGACTTCCCCTGGTGTCATTGTGCAGGTTGAAAACAATAGGGAGCTGTGCGCATTCGTGTTTGAAAAACACGAAAAGTCAAGATTTCGCAGGTTCGGCCACTGAAACGCAGGAGGCGAGCGGCGTAGAGTTGCCCTTCGTTGAATTGTGGCTAGCAAAATGTAACTAGAAGAGAGATGGAAAACAATCTGGTGAATAAAAAGAAGTCCAGGAACGAAGAAACAAACGCAGAAGGCTTCGCCGCTCCCTGATCATCATACAGGAGCCTTGAAGTTGGAGCTTGTTCCTGCGTAATACGTGTGGGTTTGTGGGTCGTCTTTGGTTCCTTTTGCTCAATCTTTGATTTTAAAAAGGCAGTGTCAATAACACACGGAAAGGCTTCCACAAAAGACTCTACAAGTAACGCAAGATGGGTGGGTGTTCACGAACTGCGATTCGCGCGGAGCGGGGTAAATGGACAGCTCGTATTATTCAAGCAAGTGTTCTACTTATTCCCTCTTCCGTTCACTTATGTCGTTCTTCTCCCCTTCATTGGCAGTAACAACAGGCTACCGTCTGCGAGGCCCCAGTAAGACTGTTACACATTGCGGCCTCCAAGCCCCCTATAACTCAAGGGTTTATTAACAACGAAATTCGGGGTAGATGGGTATATCTCCATCATTATCCTTCTGTTTTGGTGTCTGCATTTTCTTCTTTAAGAGGTTACTGTAGCTAAGCCGTGAGGTTCATCTCTACGGACGCCGCCGCGTGCAGCTCGCCTGTCGCTCATACTTGACTGCGGGGGTCTTTGATTCTTCTTTCTTTTTTCCTCTTTCGGTTTCCTCTCTTGAGTACTTTACTCATTTTCGCCCCCTGTTTGCAGCAGGAAGCACCAGAAGGAGAGGCACCCTGGGCTTTGGCGGTGTGCCGTGCCGCCTTGCGTCGGCCCCCAAGGCTGAACTGTGGATCTTATGGGGTGGCTTTAGAGCCTGTTTAAGTAGGGGTTTCTCATTAAAGGAGGGAAAGTGTTTTTAGCAGGAAAAGCTGCTGTCCTGTGTATTGCTGCACCTCCTCTGTAATCCACCACATGTAGTCTATTGAGCGTTTCCCCTGCTCCTTCCTGTTTGTCTTGGGGACCCCAGAGACCCCCACGTTGCAGCAAAAGTAAATCTGCATCTACAGGTTTGGATAGCAGCTGATCTCATATATACATTGCAGATGGCAAGCACCACGAGGACGGAAACGGTTACACCTGCTGTCATTCATATCGTTTCTCCTTCGTCTGCTGCATCGCCCGCTGCAGCAGATGATGCAACAACTTCAGCAACCGCTGCAGCAACAGCAGCAGAATCTGCTGCAGTAGAAACGCCGAAGCAAGTTGCGTGGGTGGAGGGCACGCTTGACAATGAGGACTTGGGCAGGAAAAGCAGCAAAGTCTGCTGCATTTACCACAAGCCCCGCGCTTTCGGGGAAAGCAGCAGCAGCAGCAGTAGCAGCAGCAGCAGCGACAGCGAAGGTGAAGGCGCAGCAGCAGGCAAAAAAAAAGCAAGAAAACATCAAAAGTGCAAACATCACCGAGGTAGTCCGCATCCGCCATGCGGGGATGGAAAGGAGGCGTCTTGATGGATCGGGTTAGTCAAACACTGCGAGACGAGCAAACAAATTCATTTCTCTTCTTGCTTTGCTTATTCATTCATGACTTATCAGAAGTTATATTTAGTTGTTCTGCTCATGCTGCTGCTGCTCGTTATGTACAGATTTCAACGCACAGTAGCAGCAGCAGTTAAATAGCGGCTTTTGTGTAAGTGCAAATACTGTTGCCTTCTTCGCCTCCCTCGTATTCATTGCATGTCATCTTCTCCGGCGACCTTTCTTGGGAGTTGGTGCCTTTGAGAAAGGAAAACTGTTTATAACATCTCTAACGCGGATTTAGGTCGGGCGTCGTTAGCAGTTTTATTATTTTTGTCAGTAGAATAGGAAGGGTGGATAGATGAGGGGAGATGCCGATGTTTTTCGAAAGAGGCAACTCAAATGTCCAACTGCAGTTGGTTGGTTTGGTCGTGTTGGCGCCTCAGAAGAATACGTCCAAATTATTATTTGTTTACACTTGTTTCTTGATAGTGCAATAATGTAAATGCAGCTTAAGTCTGGGGTGTCCTCTTGAGGGGAGACGCCACCAGTATCTAATTGTAGAGGAGTTTCCAAACTCTACTGAGCACATTCCAATAAGGATCCAATAGTGCACTGTACTGGGTTGGGGTAAGCTCTGTAGTGTGTTTAAAGTGCTTGTTGCTGCTCATGGGGGGAGGCAAACAAATGCAGTTATCCAGCCACAGGGGCGTCAAATACCGCGCATCTACACCGCACTTAACTAAACACCGTGAGAGTTCAACGCGGACAAAACCAAAAATATATTAAAACATCCGTTCAGTATGCGGGCTTAGCGCGGCGGTACACGCGGCAGCTCCTCCGTGCTTAGCAGAAACGACTATTTAAAATGTAGGCAGATTCATATTTATCTGCTAGGATAAAATGCAGGTTCAACTTCACCTGCTTCTTTGCTCAGTAGTAACGTGGAATCCTTCATTAGCAGACTGTACTTCGTGCACGCGGGGGATTCACGTACACCCGTAAATTATCTGGTGTGCGCTGAAGCTCCAGTGGCTGCTGTGGCATTCCGTTGTTCGTTGAAATCACCTCTTCTCTTCTCTCTAGGGCAGGAGGAGGATCACCCAGCCTTGTCAAGTACCAGAACATGCGCACCACGGCTGCTGGCGCACTTCTTAGTATATAAGGTCGACATACTTGCCTATGAGTGTCACCACGTCGCTTCTGTTTGCCCTCTCCACCTGCAGGAGATCGACAATCAGTCCCTGCCAGTTCAAAGGCACCTTGGCAGCAGACAACTGCTTCCTTAAAGCCTTTGCGTCGACTTTCTCCCTCGCGAGCGCCTGCAGCTCCTCTGCTGCTTTTTCTGAATTGGCGAGACCGTATGGCCTGCGCCCACCCGTGAATATGCCGTACAGGCACATGCCCAGGGCCCACATGTCTGACTTTCCATCTGCTATGGGCCGCACAACCTGCGCGGTCCTTCTGCCCTCCATAGCAGCAGCAGCCAAATCCTTGTCTGCATATTTCACTGTCACGTCCCTCACCCTTTCTAGCGGCTTCCCAATGGGGGTCCCTGCTCCGAACTCTCCTAAGAAGAAGGAGCCGTCTTCGCGCGCAAAAATGTTCTCTAGCGAAAAGTTGTTGTGGCTGAAATTCGCGCGCTGCAAATGCATCGCTATCAGTAGCACCCGCTTTGCTGCGTATTCTTTTATCTCTAATGGGAGAGGGTTCCGCGCGGCGAAGAGGCCCAGCAGGTCTCCGCTCAAGCTGTCCATCAGTATTACTTCGTTTATAAGGTACGCCGAAGGGCATTCCATTACAGAGGGCACTCCCTGGATTGATGCAACACCAGACGCCAGCAGTAAACCCCTAGAAGCCATCGCCTCACTCAGTTTCGTGTTGCCCGCCGCCTGCAGCATCGCCGTTGTCTCGTCTAATATCCGCTCAATTCCCGTGGCTCTGGCGAGTTGGCGGCCGAGGAAACCAAGCTTGACCCTAGACCCTGTAGTCAATGTGAAAAGTTTCATGGCTTGTTTCTTGCTTGAGCCTTCTTCCACCACTTCCACTGTCACAAAGTGGCCCCCTTCCCCCAGGTAGTTGGTTACTGCAAACTTGCGGGAGGTTTTATCGATATCCGGAAAGCCCAGGGCTTGCATGTTGGTGAGACTGAGCTGCATTCCGACGAGATCCTTGGACACACCATTGGACAAATTCTGTGCAAGGGTTTGCATGACCTCCTTTGCCAATCTCCCTGGGGGGGTAGGGGGCATTTGCTTCCTGTGTTGCACCGCTAAACCCAGCAGATTCTTTCCCATCCGCTGCGATGGTGACATGAATGCTTCATATTGGTCTAATGCTGGCACCTCCCAAAAGGCATCACGCTTTGGTACATTTCTCCATGAGGAGCTCAAAACTCGCCGCCAGTCCCGTGCAGATGAAGATCCCAGCTCGAAACCCTTTGTCACGCCGGCCAGTAAGCCACAAAAAGCAGCTACGAGGACGAGCCTGCCGAAACCTCTCCTGAAAGCCCCCACTACTTGAAGTGAAAATGCCATCCTATCCCCTCATATTCAGAATAAAGCCCTTGCTAATGAAGCCTTACTCTCCGCCGGCTCTTGCAACTCGGGCCACCGGCGATGTTCGGCCCCTCTACAGGTCTATCAGGTCAAAAAAGAATGCACTCAAAGCAGGAAGTAGTTAAAAAGTGCCTACTCTGGTGAATTCTCCGATCGACTCTGTGAAAGAGGATCTTCGCACTGTGCCAGAAACTAACGAAACACTCAGTGTCTTCGAGGCGGGGTGCTTCCGCGAGGCTAGGCGATCGGCCACCAATCTGCAGAAGCAGAACGGGGGAAGTTACGTGCACCAGCTCTTTCGTTTTCCTTATTATAATAGCATAAATTACATCAGCTTTACTTTCTAATGCGGAGTTCGACGATTTTAATTCAAGATAATACTAGTCATCCTGATTCGCTGGTTATAATAATCTGGAGGCGACGGTCTCTAGACCACTGGGTTCCAAAAAAGTGTTCATGGGGGTGCGTTACTATTAGAAGCAGAACATACTTTGCCTTAAAATTCTTGATGTAACTGATACATGATCTGAATACAATGGAAAAAGGTTAAATCCAATTTGTTTCGTTGCAATAATAACTAAAAAAGGGCAGCTTTTAACCATGGCATCATTACTGCAACGGCTTCCGGGTCGTGCAGCTCGGCTTCTCGGCACCCCTACGTGCGTGAACAAGGAAGTGCTGCCGCTGTAAGTATATAACTGAAGTATTTAACTGCTGCAATTTATAAAGGATTGTATATGTGCATATATATATGTTTATATACACACAAATGATGATGTACCTACATGTATAATATATATAATTATGCACGTCATCATGAATGAATTAAGCATCGAACTTTTGCACACCATGAAGGAGAAGGCACTTACGACGGATCATCTTTCTGAGATGTGATTATTAATTATCATCACCGTCCCGAGGTGCGTTTTGTAGGAGTTAAACTGCTGAACTTTGGAACTCTAGCGCTACATCTCGCTAAAAATGGCACGTGTATCCGAAATACTCGGCTCAGTGTGGCTAGTGAAGGCTAACTAAGCATCTAACAACTTTGTCTACAGAATTTGTGAGAATTCTGGGGTCAAAAAAAGCACAGGCTGCTGCCAGAACTCCCTACATGGTGGCTAATCGCTGTCTTTCCCCTCGTATTCAAATGATAATTGGATGTAATGAATAGAGGACGGTTTTTGTGATCCCATCACAACCAACTGCGTCAACACATCATTCATTTGTTGTTACTGCCCGCTGCTTGCGCTCTATTGAGTATGTCGATTCATATGTTGTGATGTGAGGCCTACACAAAAAGGATCCCTTGGGAGTCGCGAAGGGTACTTTCTCACTGTAGCTAAGCCCACAGAAAAAAACTGAATGCCCTCTTCTGGGGACCGTATGCAGCCCCAGAAAATAGTAATCCACGGCCATTCAAATTATGCATCTATGAACGCACCTAAACCAAATGCCTGGTGCGCGTTTATGTGGCCCCACATGAAATTTAAGCACTTCAACAGTTGCGCGCTGCGCACTCATACACGCCTGCTGATCAACTTTCCGACTTTTCTGCTTGGGATGATCTGTTTATTTGATTCAATTAGTTTTATTATAAAAATATATGTGTGCAGCGCACATGGACAAAACGCCTCCAGGCAAGATAACCCACAAAACCACATCTGCCGTCGTTAATTGCCACAAGTGCTCCTAAAAGCCTTGAGCTCGCGGCGTATTCATGTTTCTGACGATGCCTTTTACGCTACTTGCACTTCAGAACGCGACCCATTCTCTTTAAAATAATGTTTACACCCCCCACATCAGCGCGCCAAAGCCCTTATTAGTGCAAACATCTGATGAGCGCGGGGACCATATTACAGATAGAAGGCGAACAAGGCACTGACTACCGCACACTAAATAATACGTTTCCTAAGAATCCTATTTTAACACTACATATTATTAATATGTTTGTAGGAAGTGTATTATTTACAGATGTAGAGCTCGCCGATACCGAAGCGTAGAACCCGCATAGCCTCTGTACCGACCAGCCCAACTTTGCGCAAAACGAGAACTAACGCTTGAAAACAGAAAATCCATAATATTATCATAGTACACTACACTATGTATAATGTAGATTGTACAGTAAAAATAATCCATATAATATACACTAGAGTATCTATATTGTTCATTGTCCTCTTATCAACTGACGTTTTGGACTGCGTAACACCATCATGCGCTATTGGCGTTTGGCCACTAAAAAAGGAAAACCCAAGAATTCTCCACCACAAACAGGTCCGAACAGACCGCCTCCTCTTACACTTCTATCGTGCTGCTCACTTCTACTCTTGAGTATTTCGGAGCGCTATGTCCAGATAAATCACGGACATGCTTAAGAACTGCGAGTGAGTGCTTGCTGCAACGCAAGCAGTAGCAGTTCTTCTCCCTCCCTTCCTCTCCCTCTCCATCTCATGGTAGCACATTTCAGAAAGGGGTTTCGTTGCTGATAATGCACAAACATTTTCGTGGTGCCCTGCCAAGCAGGAGAGCAGCGGCTGAACGCGTGGAGCTGTGCAGATCAAGTATTTGGTTACGCAAGTTCTTCATTGCGCTGCTTGCATACGCGCACATCTCTTCCGCTCTTCTCAGCTGGGTATCAGCCTACTGGTGATCGCTTGCAAACTTGCTGCCGCCAACAAGCGCAACTGCCCATGCGGACAAATGCACATAAGGTATATTACAGATCCCTGACGGGATACATATACGACGCCGGATACCCCTGCACTATACAGACGCGCTACCCGTTGAGAACTGTCCGTTCCATCTGTGTATGTGTGACAGTTCCTTAGCTTCCTTTCATGGGCCACAGCGAGCGCCCTTCCTCGTATTGAAGTAATTTCGCCTGCCGAACACCTCCCCCGCACAATTCCCTGGCGAGTATCATTTCTACTGGCTTCTACTGGTCTCAATTAGTATAAACGTTTCAGATCGGAAAGACTAAGACTATTTCTGCGTACAGCTGAGACCTGAAAGTACTCACACAGCAAGACGCACCCATGCACGCTTTCACTCTCCCCTGTACTGTCCATAAAACATCAACAATTAAAACTTCGGTTCGTTTGCAGTGCAGCACCTGTGACCAAATAGGGCAAAGCCGTAGAAACTGGGAAAAACAAAGGCTTTTCCCCGGGTACTCGAACGGGTCTAGGGTCTACCACTGGTCATAACGCAGCTCCCACCGTGGAAGCTTCATTTCGTGTTGTATGCACACGCAAAACCCGAAGAAACCGAAAACGCATTATTCAAAATGCTTGTTTGTTCATTAACTGAACCAGCGAGTCCGGGTTGGCTGCACCCAACGGTGAATAAAGCCCTGTGTCACCACACACTCGCTGCGACAACCGCTACCCTTTAACTAGTGGAGTAGGTCATGGTGGTCCTCCAAGATGGCCTTTGCCTCAATCCTTTGTTCTACGCTGGGCTCAAGCAGCCCAATAATGAGATCTGCCCACTTATGTGGTACTCTACCTTGCGCGAGGGCCTCCAGGAGTTGGCCGGATCGGACTCCCCGTAATTCTAGATCTGCAATAACGTCTTCACGGGGGGCGCCTTCTTTCATCCCGTAGGGGAGATCTCCATTCAAAAATATCTTGTACAGACACACGCCCAAATCCCACAGGTCAGTCTGGCTGTGGGCAACAGGGGCTTCCGCAACCGATAATGCCTCCGCCGCAGCAGTCTGTAACCCCCCTTCTGTAGAACTGGCGGTGTCGGGCTGCAATTTCCTCCTCCTCTCCCCGATGCGGACGCTCTCATCAAAGTTCCCAATGTAGAAGGAGCCGTCCTTTCGAGTGTAGATGTTTTGCAACTTCAAGTCGTTGTGGCTAACAGATGCGCTCTGTAGCAGCATCACCTCAGTTAGTAGCCTCTGTGCTGCATACACCTTTGCATTCATCGACATGATGTTCGCCCCAGCGAACACTTCCTCCAGATTCCCGTGGAACCTCTCCATCAGCTGCACGTTAGCCGTTATATACCTTGTACTGCCCCGTACAATTGGAGCCACGCCACTAATTGTTGCAACGCTGTATGCTAAGGCTAGGCCCCTCTCCTCGGCAGCTCGCTGGGGAGGTGTTTCCCCCACCGCCTCGAGCATTGCGACGGTAGACTCAACTGTGGACTGGTTGGCCATCATTTCAGCCAACTCGGGTGTAACATGTTGTCCGTCCACTTTCGAGGGCAGTGTCTGCAGCCTCATTGCAAATACCTTCTCTGTTGCCAGCTCAACTACCTCCACAAACACACACGACTTGTCCTCCCCCAAGTATCTCTTCACATAAAACTCAAGCGGCTGCCTTTCCACCTTACCCGAACCAAGTTTCTGCATGTCCTTCAGAAGAATCTTTGCCCCAATCAAGCTACTCCTCTTCCCGTCCGAGAGTTCAATGCCGAGGGAACTCAATACATCGTGCCCCAAAGTACCTGAACGAGGGAAGTCTTGCTCTCTCCTTTTCTGAACAGCCGCCCCAAGTTCCCGTTTTCCGAACTTAACGTAAGGGCTCATCCTTTCCTCAAACTCTTGGACATTCGGCAAACCCCAGGGCTCCTCGTGATGGGCTACACGCGCCCAGGCCTCTCGCAGCAAAGCGCCGCGGCCGCGCTGCGAAGGCCACCACAGCAGAGATGACAAAACAGCTGTGATGAGACCGGCCACAAGCACTCCTAGCATTGCAGCCATGCGCGCCTCTCCTCCCCGTCTTCTTGCCTGTCGACGACCCCGAACACCTTCGCCTTCGCCTTCGTCTGTTACTTCCCCCTTCTCCGTCCTCTCCTCTAGGCTATAAGCCTCCTCCACAACATCTCCATCTAAAGGAGCCCACTCTCCTGCGGCTAAGAAGCCGCTCCCCGTCTGAACTGGTGAACCCTCTGCACCCGACATGGTGTCTCGTGCAGCGTCTGCGTAGGCCGAGCAAAAGGAAGAACAACGGAGGCCAAAAAACCTTTGAAGGCGGCGAAAGTGCGGCAAAATACGTGAACGAACAGACAAATAAACAAAAAGAATTAATTGCCTGAAAACCGACTCAGTGGATGAGGATCTGCTCTGGTCTGGAGTCCATGAAACCAACTGCACCTTGGAGTGCTGCTTCCCAAAGCATGGTGCTGCTCCTCAGCCTCTAGTGCCGTAGCTTTCGCCGCGAAGTTTACCCAAGATTTAATTCGGAAATGTAATGAAAACTGTCATTTTCCCTTTTTGATGAAGTGTTTGCATTTCCATATACCTCCTACAGCGCTGTCCTCAACGAGTGGACGCCAGACATCTATCGATGCAGACGTCTCGAGGCATCGCCTTGCAACCCATTCTCGACGTCCATTTTTTCGGCAATGATTGTACCACAGACATATATATTCATTTACACATAGTTCTGTTATTTATGTAAGTGTTTTATCAACGATATTTACGAAAAAAGAGTTTTGACGTCTTTTCCAGTGGTCCCACGTTCGCCGCAGTACGTTGCTGCCCGTGTTGCCCTAAACAGTTCGGTGGCACGTTTCTTCACCTCTCGTGGTTTAAGAAAACAAGTAATGAGATACTCAGCAAACTGAAAGTAAGTTATCAAATGAGCCGTCTGTAAACTTCGGGTCCCTGTCTTGCCATATGCGTAGTTGATGACCTTCCAACGAAAACATAGGAACCACTTCTGCCACAGAAGAAGTGGAACCAAGTCAAGTAGGAAGGTTTCACAGGATTGAACACAGGCAAGTTGCGCGTAATAAAAATTCAAGAAAAAACAGCAGCAATAACATCTGGTTCCATATACAGTCTACGGGAGTCGTGGCCACAGCAACTGAAGCCAGTGGAGGTGCGGCAGATTGTCATGATTTCAGCACAAGCTGCCGCAACTGCTGTTGCTGTGTTGTCTCCGAGCAAGTCAAGGTTTCATCTCCAATTATTAAATTTGACTGGGCAGTTGCACTCCTTTGCAACTTAGCCATCGTTTCCTCCGCAGTGTCACCACACACTACAAAGAACGAAACGCTAAAAAAATCGAAAGGAGGCTTCTTTCCCTACTCTAAATAAACAGCGATGATGGGGGAAGGGCTTAGACCCAGGGGCCGCCACTGCACACTTGGACGGAGAGCGCTGCAGGGATCTCTGTATCCCCCTAGCTAACTAGCTAGCTAGCTTCCTAGTAGAGGCGCTTGCATTTCAGCGTACTTTCACATGCATGCGAAAATAATAGAACGCCGTTGCAGCTGTTACGCGGTGGAGCTGTTGTTTCTGACTGCAGACGCTGGCGCCGCTCCCCTTCCTCTTCGTCAGAGAGAGGCGCACCCTGCAGGTTCCCCTGTCTATACATCAAAGCATTTGCTTTAGAATTTGTAGTTTATGCAACAGTTCTAGCTTTTAGAAGTGGTGGCAGTTTGTGAGAGGGACTAGCTAGCTTCCGCTGGCACCATACCGCAGCTTCATTAGCGGCTCTCTCAGAGCGATACAAAAAGCATGTTTCTACAATGGAGCATCCATCTTTTATTGGTAATATATATACATACGGATGTATAAATCATCTTCATTCTGTACAACCTGTGCCAACGCAATCAGCTCCCCAGAGGAATCCACACTCGTTCGCCTTGGGGTCTCATGTTGGTTTCCGATTTCTCATTGTCTGCCTAACCCCAACCGCCTTGCAGCCCCAGAAATTCGTTCGTTATTTGGCGTATTGCATACCATTCATAAAGCAAGCCCAGGAGGAAAAAAGACCGAAAGAAACCAAAACACTGGAAAGCGGCGAAGTCCCTCTCCCCCAGAAAACAGCGCACCACGGCCGTTCCCTCGCCGTTTCACACTTCCCCCACCCCCACTCCCACCCCCTTAGCCACCAACAAGCCCTACACCAAAAAAGAAAAGCAAATGAACTTACGAAGAAACACCCCTCTCTCGCTGCAGCTTGGGTGACAGCAAACAACCAACAGCCTCATAAACCCGAGCGTTGAAGAAAGAAAGAGTTGCAGCAGGAGGGCAGAACGGCGGCTCAAGTTGTCTGTTTGCCCGTCACAGAAAAAAGAAACCAGCAACTGCTCCAACTGCATCGGCGACTGCGGCAGCTGCAGTAGCAGCACTGTTTCAGCAGCTTCTGCTGCCTCTGCATCCCCGCTAAGGCGAGTGCTACCAGTCAAGGGAAACTGTCAGCGTAAAACCATTTCAGGGTTCGACGCCATTTTGTACATACACGTGCATACCCAAGGGCATCTATACACATGTAAGTTCGTGAAGCTAGCAGGAAGCTTACCGAAGTTCATCGCCTGAAACAAAACGATCTTCACAGCAACAACGCAACGTGGCTTGTACATCAAGCGAACGTCAAGCTGCTGCCGCCGCTGCTGCTGCCGCTGCTGCTGCCGCTGCTGCAGCTTCTGCTGTTGCGGCCTCTGCCCTAGTGATGACCTCGTAGTTGAGCCACAGCGTAAGGCAAAAGCTGATGCAACAGCAGAGGTGGAAGAGTTCGTGGAAGCCGAAAAAAGCGGGGAAGGGGTCTGGCCAGCGGCTGCCGTAAACCAAAGCCCCGACAATATAAAATGCTGCAAGGGAGATCACCAGCGCCACTTCCTTCGCTGTCAATACAGAAACATACGACTTCAAAAACGCCGCATGCAGCAACCCGATTCCGATGTATGTGTACGCACGACGCAGACGCGCCCCTGAAGATAAATCTCCAAACATTATTGTCCAAAACCCTGCAAAAATCGCACACGTACACAGCTACACGCATGTGTATGCATACACGCGTGCATACCTGCATGCATGCAACGCACCCAAGAGTCTGTGCTTCATGCATGCATACATGCACGCATGCAGCCCAGACTCACTTGTATGCATGCATGTATTCACGCAAGCATGGGAACGCGTATGCACACGGAAACCCAAGCTGCATCCTGCCACGAAGAGTGCTTGCAGTTGTTCTATGGACCCCCCAGAACGAGCAAGACGGAGAGGACTGACGGGCGGAATATATTAAAACGGCATTTAAATGCACAAGGAGCCGCCTCAGCACACTGAAATACAGTTACCATTCATGCTGTCGTCCAACAGGCACAGCATTGTAAGCTTGCTAAAAAAAGCAACACATTCGTCACCAGCCAGATAACAGCATTGCCTGTAGTCCTTAGTTAGCAGCGAATGTCATATGCAGTGCAATATCACAGTGTTTAAACGCAAAAACCACACAAGCGCAGACTCGGACAACACTCCATTCCTGCGGCAATTTGCTATGAAGAGACTTCTACTCCTCTTCGCTTGACAGCCAAAGGCCGCGGCAACTGCTAGTAAGCCGCCGTCTGGTTCAGAGATGCTGCTGCAGTAGCACCTGCAGCTGCAGCATGCGAACCTGCTGCTGCTGCTGCCGCAGCAACAGCCAGCAGGCACACCCACCATACAATGTTGCAAGGCCCTGAACGGCTAGCAGAAGCACAGAGGGCCAGAAGTCGAACAGCAGCAACGGAATGGGAGTTGTGCAACTGCTGATGACCACGAAGATGCCTGGCACACGAAGAAGCAGCAAAGAACTCTTTAATAAAGTGCATAACAACGCCACGTATAAACAAACACCAAGCACCGCGCAACGAGACTAAACGAAAACCGCACACAGACCACAGCTAACACACAGCAAGCCCCTCATGGCTGAGCAGCAAGAAAGATCAGCAACAACGCAGCACCAAGGGAATACAACAGACCTGCATGATCAAGTTTAACAATAAGGGAACGCCTCTGCGGCCCCCAGCTTCCGCTGTGCAGCAGCGCACTTGCAGCGAAGTTCGTAAGGAAAGAGAGACAGCTGATGGAAGCAGCAAACACACTGATAAGGCGTTTGCATGCACTCAAAAGCAAAGCCACCCAAACAGGGGCCATGAGAAAAAGCCCCAAATGAATTGTCCCTCGAAGCTTCGGCCTTATCAACAGCACCTCCTCATCCACGCCAGAGTCGCTTGCAGCAACGCCTCTGTCCCCCACATCAGAAGAGGAAATAGACCTGTACTTCACCTTTCCCGTTTTGGGGCTGCTTGCGCAGCGCTCAGTCTCTCCAGAAGAAGGAGAAGCTGTAGAGCCGACAGACCCTTCAGAGTTCAAGCCTTCGCGCGACAGCTGCTGATGCTGCAGCGTCTGCTGCTGCTGAGGAGCAGCAGCTGCAGCGTTGTTGCTGCCCGCAGACTCAGCTGGACGCGCCATGACACCGTCGGCAGGCGTTCCTACGAAGGGGCCGGGGTGATGAGAGCAACTAAAGCAAGAGGAGCACAAGACGGCAAGAGGCGAGTATCAGCCGGGACCGTAGGTAAGGAAGAAAGCACGGGCGGGTGAAGGGTTCAGTTCAGTATTGGGGGCTTTTGGTGCTGTTAGGTTGAAAACGACTCCTTTCTGCAATGAACAAGTGACAGAGACACTTCGGCTGCTGCTGCTTTTGCAGGCCAGAAGAAGTCATGAGGGCGCCAGCTGTCGCCAACGAAGCTGCAAGGAAGAGCGCGAAAGCCCCTGACGCTGCGACTATGGCAACAAGGGGCCGTGGAAAAATAAATGCAAATGCAGGAAGCCCGCCGTAAAAGGGAGATAGAGAAAGCCACAGGATTATATACACTCCAAACACCACTGTCCACACCAAACCAATCAGAGCTCTGCAGCGCCAAGAAGACAGCATCGCCGTGTCTTCTGTCGCCGCTCCAATCGAGAAAGCGGAGATATAACCTCAAAAATTGCGTTATTATAACGAACCGCTCAAGGACACACCGCCACACGGCAAGCAAACTTTCAGGCAAAGCCGACGGCATGCAGAACGAGACGCCCTGACATGCACTAACTGCTGCAGGTCTATGGGTGGAAACTGTTCTCACAATAATTAAAACCACTTTAATTTTAAATTAAACAACTCTAAAAAGGATCAATCAATATGATCGGCTTATACGCAGCAGGAGCTGAGCATACTAATCGCATTCTGACTACAACAGAAGCATCCGTGCACTGTACATTTATATGCACAACCCTAAGGGAATCTGCACAGTTCTTACTTAAAGCATCCAACAAAATTTGACATTTTAATTTTGGAGTAAATAAATTTACAAGACACTTAACAAAGGAGGTGTTTCTAGCCGCATTTTGGGGCTGCTGTGCTGGCAGGGCGTATTCGGATGGTCCCAGAGGAGCCAAACAGAAATGATCGACGGTCTATAGCTAACCGCACACAACGAAGGGGAAATGCATAAAATACACCGAAAACCTCTCAATGTTTGTCACCTTGATCAGGCGAGCTACATAACCCGAAGCGGAGGCGGTTTGTGACGAAGTTGACGAACTCCAAACCCTCAGTATTCCGAGTGTAGCATGGTCTGTGTGAAGTTGGTACACAAACACTTTCTTGGCCATTGTAAGTAGTGCGCACGCAAACGGAAGTACAGCAACTGCCAACAGTGTTTGCGCAGACAGAAACCGCGGGGTTGGTTTGCGTGCCTGCGAAGGCCGTTACGCCAGTAGTTGCAACAGGGTGCGTTGCAACTCATGTAAGATTGCTTCCTCTCTCCCAACACCAGGCCCTTGGCTAGCTGCGCCAAGTGCTTCAGGGGAATGGAGAGAGGAACTCAGCAGCAGGTCTTCCGTTTATTCTTTCACCTCAGTCGCTGCTCATGGCGGCCCTGGGGTAAAGTGGCCGACGATCGTTACAACGGGTCCTTATTCTTAGGTGAGGAGTCTAGTGAGTTGCAATGGAGTCAAAATGCTTTTTTAAACAGGAGTTTCCCGGTGGCATCTTAAGTGAGGAGTGTAGTGAGTTGCAATGGGGTCAAAATGCTCTAAACAGGAGTTACCCGAAAGCACCAGCCTCCATGAGTCCTGGGCACCAAGGACACCTCGCCGTATAGGGCCATGGGCCTTGGTATTGGGCACGAAGGCCCATGGGCCTATACGACGAAATTCCTCAATCGTAGCGGGGGACCCACTATGAGCTGCAATTGAGCAGGGAATTTGAAGTAAGAGTTCTGCAGAAGCCGCTCATCCCCCATCTAGTCTCCAGGCCTTTTGCGCACAGCGGCCAAACTACCTTGGGTTGCTGCGGAGAGGCGGCAGGCTGAAGTGAGGTGCAACACACCTGGTTGCAATTGTTGCTACAAGGCAACCACACAAGCAAGCATACACAAGCAGCTTCTGCTGCATTCTATAGCACTGCAGACAGTTGATAAACGCTTACTTGTCCCCTAGTAGGTGGCCTGAACGCAACTCGGAGTTCAAATAACAACTTTAGGCGGACCGTTCAGCGCCTGCCGCCCTTCCTCCTGTCCAAGCAGCGCACTCTACCAGGGGATAAGGAAAGGAGGAAAGCCGTAAGCGCAGGTACTGCTTCGACTGACTGTGGCCGGCACGACCAGCATCTCGTTGCTTTCGCCCCTGTCACTGGCATCTCCACTCGGTATGTGCGGTGCTGTGTGCCGTTTGCCTGTGTTGAGCGCCGTCATTCAGTGAGTACATGCCAACCCACTAAAATGCGGTGAATATGCGATGAATTACCTCAAGCGGACAACCTTAGTGCTCGCGTTAAGCATCGGTACGCCCAGCTCCAAACGGGGCAGGGGGGAAGGGGGCACGCAGCCCCCAAGTATGAAAAGATGAAAACGGGGTCAGCGGCGGAGGCGAGCTAGCCACATGTATGGTCAATGACGCAGAACATGAGTGGCGCGGCGGCGGGTAGAGGCGGGGGGGAGAAATAATTAGCACAGGAAAGCTCAGAAATAGAAACATGTGAGCGTCTTTTTACATGTCGCACAGGAGTGGTCACCATGTTGCTGCGCGGGTGGCCCATCAATGCTCTGCTCCAGGTGCGTCCGATACTGGTGCTCCGGTTAAAGAGTGAGGTGCCTTCCAAATACGGAGTTAAGTAATGCCAACACTTCTTTTCTTCCCACCGGACTTCGTAGAGCTCTTTCTTGCTTACCGGGTGCGTTTGCTCTTTCCGTCAGTTTAGTACGCACATTTCAACTTATATGTAGGATAGATACAGACAGGCCATGCTACAGTTGCAATGCTATTAATATGCGGCGATTCACACGGCTGGTTCTGACGCCTTAATGCAGTCTCCCGGCAGAGTTGTTTTTGGTGCCTGGATACTCAACGTAAATGGGGTGCTGCGGAGTGGGGCTAATATACGGATAGACTGCGCTGTTAGGATGTATTCGTCAGACAGCCAGCGAAACACTTGAAGGGGTTGGTGGTGCAAATGAGGATGAGCTCTGCATCAATTCAGCTGTTTCTATTCGTACCTTCCTCTGTCTACATCCCGGGCCCGCTTGTGCGCGTGGTTTGCGTGCTAAGTGTCTACTGTGTCGGCGTTGTTTCCTTCATTACCTGTTCTACTATCTGTTAAAATCTCTACTTCCTTTTATCTACACTTGCCCTTCCATCCGTTCCCAGCATTGTTTGCCCATGCATGCAGGCAAACAGTGCCCCGATTCGCGGAGGCTTGCTGCATGTGTATGCCTGCGTATATGTCTCTCCTTGCCTCTGTTCTGCCTCTCGCTCTTCTTCGTCCCTCATGCTTGTTTGCGTGTCATCTTCGTCCTTCGTGTTTGCTTGCGTCTCATAGCGTCTTAATTGCTTTTTCTTACGGCGCTGTGCTGCTGGTTTGTTAGGTGGTGGAAAAAGAGATATACACTGACTAAATTAGGCACAAAAACAGAGTCGCCAAGACAAACAAAGACAGCGAAAGAAAGGCAGGGATGAAAACACAACCGTGGGAGACGCATAGAAAACCCCGACAAAGAAGCAAAAACAGAAACACAACAGCGAAAACAAGGAAGGCCAGAGAAGAAGGACGATGTGGATAAGGTCAGAACATGCAAAGACGAAAGGAGCCGAAAACAGAGAAGAAACAAGGAAGCACAGCGAGTACAAGCACAGACACCGAAGAGGGCAAGCGCGGATTCTGAAGAGCACCAAAAAGGAAACAAACGGAGAAATAAAGACACAGGAAGGGACGGGAAGATACACGCAGATGCAGAGGCAGGCAGGGACACCATGAGACGAAGGCGGGGGAGGGTAAAGACACATAGGTACATCTTTGTTTCCACTTGGTGCTGCAGATGCTGCTGGTTGGTATTGCAAATGCTGCTATTTGCTGCTCAATTGTCTCAGCCGACCCTCGAGACAAGCACACGGCAAAGATTTGAAATTGCGTTCTGTCCGTGACCACCGAGGTCTTTTTGCAGCAACAGCTGATACTACAGCAGCAGCAGCACTTGCTGCTGCGCGTACTGATTCTGGGGCGCAGCGGCGACTGATTGGACGGGGCCCAATCAGTCGTCCTCGTAACCGTATGAACGATAATGCTGTTGCTGCTGCAGGTGGATGGCGTTCTGCTGCAGTGCCGCCTCATACTCTGCAATTTGGGGCTGCTCAGCTAGCCGCTGCATCGCCAGCTGCTGCAGCTGGACAGCCCTGTCTCTGAGCCACGCGGAGGGGGAGCCTACGGGGTTGAAAAGGAGACAGTTGGATACGATGAGGTTTATATCGTCTTTAAATGCAGCTACTGAGGTGTACTGGCGCTCCCGACACTTGGACAGAACTTTGCGCAAAAACATCGGATGCTGCACTACCACAGAATAACCTGGCGCCACCCGGTCGTCCACCCGATTCACAAAAGGCTGCAACGCAAATACAAAGTATGTGTAATATATACTAAATATACGCTAGGGTAATGCACATGATATAGAATATCTATTAATACGGTGGTAATACCCATGCTCCTCTTTCTTTGTTTAGCTCTTTGGTAACCACGTATGTAAATAAAAAATTAACAAATGGAACTAAACAAAAAACGGCGGGATGAAGCGACAGATGAAGGAGTAGATAAAGTAGATAATATATCGCTTTGTCAGAGATGTCTACAGGAAAAACTGCTGAATTGAAAGCGTAGAGGGTAGATGCACCTGACGACAAATGCAAGAATTGCCAGTCATTAACAGATGACAAAGGTAGAGAAAGAAACAAACGAAAGAAAAACAAGTATGCAAATAGCCAAACGACTTGACTGATGGGCAGGAATGCAGCAAACAAGCGAGACCAAGTGCAACGCGAGAAATACTACACAAAGGAAAAAGGACAAACCCAATCCGGAAGCAGCAAGACCGCATCGAAAAGCATCCGCCGAACGCAAAAACGAAACCAACAAAGACCCCTAGAGACACGCCGGGAGTGCAGCATATCCTAAAGGTTTGCGGCTTCAGCAGCGAAGGCGGGAAGAAAGAGAACCAGTAGCACACACTGGAGATCTGCAGCACAAGTTAACGCGAAAAGAGCTAGAGGAGCAAGCCCACCTTGAAGGTTTGCTGTTGCAGCAGCAGATTGACAACTCGTGCGAAGGAGACGTTTAAGGCATCGATGGGCTGCTGCATGTGGGCGGCGTCCCTGTCTGTAACTGTACTATGCCCTCTGCCTCTTTTTCTCTGTCTGGCAGCCTTGCTAGATCTTGATTTCCCAACGCCTTCATCTTCATCATCATCATCCTCTAGTTCTGACGAGACCTCATCGCTATCATCTTGCGCTTCATCGCCGCCCCACACGTCTACTGCTGCTTCAGTAGCAGCAGCAAAGCCATCCTCCCTCTCGTCTTCGCTGCTGCCGCTGAGCAGTGCAGCAGCCCCCCCGCGGCCGCGCCTCCTGCGTGTGCTGCTGCTGCATAGAGAGCCCGCTCCCTCTCCTTGCAAATTAGTTTCTGCTGTTAAACCCAACTCCACGTCGCTCCCGCCCGTACGCCGCCGCTTCCGCTTCGTCGCCGCCTCCCCCACTGCTGACCCTAGGCGTTTCGGTCCCCGGTAGAGTGGACAGTTCTAGAACGCACACGCCCTAAACACGAAACCCTAAACGTTGATTAGGAAGCAAACCACAACGCAGGTAATGCTAAGCACGACACAATACGCTACACACGAACAGCACGCCCCACAACAACGCACTACGCCAGCCTCTATCATTCTGCTTTAACCCCTAAACCAAAAGCCCTTAACCCTGAAGCCGTACGACGTTTGAAGCGATATGACCGGCCCTTCCACAGGCGCGGCAAATGCGTTTGCCTGCCAGCGCCTCCTTCGAGTGCACGGCGCTCATTTGTCGCTGACATACAACCACACTCTCCGAGCCCTAAACCCTAAACCCTTTGCGCTTGACCCCTAAACCCTATATTCCCATTCTGTGAATCTAAGGCAGCCTAGAGAATTTAAAGGATACTGACCCCTGGCTGCCGTCCACAGAGTTACGTAATTTAGAGATTGGGGGTTTCTGCCCTTGTGCAACAAAATATTCCTTGCAGCTGCCACATGTCTCTTTTTGGTTCAAAAATATCTTAAACAAAAGTACATAATTGTCTTAAATAAAGCGATTATTAAACGAGAGTCCGTTGGGGGCAAAAAGAGCTGTACCTGTCGTTTTTTAGCCAGCCGTTTGTCTCTCCACGCCAAAAACGCTCTTATATTTTCTGCCCCGTAAATCAAAATGCACCGCTCAGCAGTAAATGAATCACCAACTTGTTGCCGCCTCTTCCGCGTCCACCGCAGACATGGCACAGCTCGTACCTGATGCACCCACACCCTAAACTTTAAACTCCACACGCTAGACCCAAAACCCTGAACCCTGAACTCAGCAGTTGCCTCCAGGGCAAACGCACGTGAAAGCCAAGCAGCAAGTGGCCGCCTGCACAGAATACGACGTAATCCGACACGAAAGCTCCTTAGGGCTAGACACGGTTTAGGGTTTAGGGCTGAGATTTACAGTTGCTTCTGCCCTAAGCTGTTCCTCCTGGGTCAAGGGGCGCTGGCTGCGCGCTTCCTGGCGGTCTCTGAGGACCTGCAGCTCCCTCATCTCCAACTCGGTCTCATCTGCCTGCTGCAACACGGTCCCGCACCCATGCATCCATGCATGCATGCACGTATGCATGCATGCAGAACCAAACGCTTTATAAGGGGGCTTCGCTTTCCATGCGGCGCACACCGGCCGCGTCACAAAGGAAAGGGACATGAAATACCTGAATCGGTAGAATGAGGGGGTGAAGGACCAATGCAGCATGCACGTAATTAAGCAAGTAAAAAATACACAACACAAAACGAACCAACAAAGCTGGAGGAACGAAGGAGCGGAGCTCAAGAAAAAGGTCAAATGCAATCGACGCAAACCCAAAACCACGAACTCAACGACTCGGAAAGATGCAACAAATAAAGGCAAATACGACGCACCTAAAAAGGCGCAACAAATAATTCAAGCAATAAACCCTTAATGCAATACCAGCTGTCAATACACCGTAGAGAAGTATACCTCGTGGTCTGAATCCTCGCACCCAGCGAAAAGGGCGTCGGCAACATCTTCTCCTGCTCCACTTTGCTGCTGCTGCCCAGCGGTTGTCGCAGCAGCAGCAACTCCCGCTGCAGCAGCTGCGTCTGCGCCAAGTTGCTGCTGCTGCTGCGGGGTGGACGGCGGCAAATCATCGTCTGTGTCGGTAACAACGGGCTCATCAGCTCTCAAGGCAGCCTGCTGTCGCTTCAAAATGCTGCAGAGCTTCGCTTCGTACTCCTCTGTAGGCAAACGAACCCCGGCACCCCTCCCTTTGCTGCTGCCATCCTCAGCCCCAAACCCGTCGCGATATTGTCTCACCAACGCAACCTGGTCCCACCTGCACAACCCCAAAACAAACACGCATGCAGGCATGCATGCATGCCCGCTCACCGATAACACAGCTGGGAGGAGGAGGGCTGAGGAACGCATAATAGGTCTACGCTGCAACCGAGCCTTCCCACAAGTTACGGAAACAGCAGAAGCAACCACAGCAGCAACTACAGCAGCAGCAGCCACCGCTCCAGAAGCAGCCCCAACACTCGCGGCAGCTCCAGAAGCAGCAGCTCCAACACCAAACACAACGGCAACAGCAAAAACAGCAGCAGCAACAGCACGCGCTGCTTGCGTTCGTTACCTAGGGAGCGTCCTGATGACTGCATCACTGAGGCCATACTGCAGTAGCCTGGCCCTCAGTTCCATCATTCCGAGTTTGCGCAGATCGTCTACAGTCCCCGCAATGCCTCCCGCTGCATGACGTCTGAGAGGCTGCTGCACTACGAGCGGGTTGGTGCCGCTGCTGCGGCTTCTGCTGCCCCGTTTCAGCAGCGCGATACCTTCCCCTCGCCCGCAGGAAGGGTCTGCAAATCCGGTTAGGAGGAACTGAGCAGAGCCTTTGTTCTGCAGCACTTCACGGCATTCCTTGGTTGTCTGCCAAGGCACAAGAAGCAGCAACTCCTCAATAAAACGAATGAGAGGGGAATGGCGGCGTCCTGCGCGGCTGCTGCTCAGCATCAGCAGCAGCTGCTGCAGCTGCTGCTGCTCCGCTGCAGCAGCGGCGGCAGCCCCGTCGCTTGGCAGGCCCAGGGCCTCGCGCCGCTGCTGTTGCTGTTGCTGCAGCTGCCGCAGCCGCCTGCGTGCAGTAACAGCAGCTTGCTGCTGCTGGCGCTCCTCCGCCTCCACGAAGGCGCATGCATTGCTGAGCCCCTCAGGGCTTGTCAACGTGCTGATGCCCACAGCACGCAGCCGCAGCCAGGCTGCCTGTGACGTCTCTAGGCCACACACTGTCTCTGGGGAGATGATAGAAATGAGGGACGCCTCTGGCAGCAGCGGCAGACGGTGAGGCGCTATTGGAGACAGTTGCTTCAGCAGCTGTGCGACCTCCTTCTCAACAACAGGAGGACAAAAACGCGCTTTGATGTTCTCTTTCACCCGCTTCATCTCCGTCACGCCTGTCTCCCGCACAAACCTGATACATACATACATACATACATACATACATACATACATACATATATATATATATATATATATATATATACATATGTATATATATTGCGCACGTCGATGCACACATACAGACATTCACAAGCACTTACTAAACAGATGTACCACCGACAACGCAAGAGCAGCAAGCACGCTGCACTCGCAGACGGTGAAGCATGTGGTGATGGGTCCACAGAATTCATATTCATTCAGCACCAAAAGTTGAAGAGGCAAGGAAAAAAGAAAGGCTGGAGGAAGCACAGAGATACAGAACGGCAAACACAAGTCGCGGGGAGACGGAATACAGCACAGCAAAGCGTGCTTAAAATGTGACAATAAAGGCCAAAACATCGAGGTAGGCAAGGGGAGGCAGAAAGGGAAAGAGAGAAGCAGAGAGAGACACTGACACCAAGAGAGACAGGGGCAGAAGAGACAAGGGAAAGGAGTGAGCAAGCTGAGTGTCTGTACACCTCAAGGCCCAGGCCTTTGATTGAAGCTTGCGGTCATCCAGCAGCTTCTTTGACTGCGGGGCAGGCACCTCAACCTTTGGCTGCAACTGTCCTACGGTGTATATACAGCAGTTCTCAGCGCTCCCCAACACAGTCGCGCGGCTGCTGCTGCTGCTGTAGCTGCTGAAGCAAGTCGGGTACGCAGATACCGCTTGAGGAGAAAATACCATTGGCCTCAAGAAGTGCTGCAACAGCCGCCGCATCAGCAGGAGAAGCACAAATAATGCTACAGCAGCATCCCTTGTTCAATGAGAGCGCACGTGGGAGAGGTGGCACGGGGTGTCTATTGAGACGCATGTACACAGCACAGGCAGTGCCAGTGAATTGTTTCGTAGTGCCTACTCATCTCGAGGAGGATTGCTGACTGATCTGTACTCGTAGAGTGCGTCGAGATGCATGTGCAGTGCGTGCTGGGGTGTACGTTCGACTGCTGTTGAGGTGTCTGTGCAGCTGCTCATCGGGACCACATGTGTATGTTGGACTGTATGGGAAGCGTTTGGCGCTGTGTCTCCGCGGCGCGTGCTTTTCTGCTGCTGCGTGCATAATCATTTGCTGTATCATCTGAGTGGCCTGCGTGCGCTCAGGTGGATGCAAAGCTGACTAACTTTCCATCCTTCTTTGGTTTTTCGGCGGATAAGAAGAAAATCGCCTCGACGCGGGTCGTTAAAGCGGCCTTCCCCTCCCAAAGGAGACATCGGGTTTTGAGGGTGAGGGAACAACAAAGCAGTAAACAGAGGGCAGTCTACCACCGCCTGCCCCTCGCCTGAACAGCAGCGGCAGCACCAGCAGCAGCAGCAGTGGCCCCACTGCAGCGGAGGGAGAGACGATGCAAGAGACCGCGCAAGCAGCAACGGCACAGACTGCCCCCACCGCACCCAGAGCACCAGAAAAATGCAGCAGCAGCAGCAGCGGCAAAGCAGACATGCCTGGTTCAAGAGGTATGTCTGCCCCGAAGATGGTCGGCGCCTTCTCGTTTTGCTCCACCAAACGCAAACCCCCAAATGTACCTAAAGAACCCTGCAGCAGCAACAGCAGCAACAGCAGCAGCAGTAATAATAGAAAAGGGAGCTGATGTGTTGGCGCGAAAGGCTAATGGGAGTAGCAAGAAAAATCCCAGCAACCGCAGCATCAGTGGCACTTTAAGAGTAGCGACCGAACGAGCCACAGTAGTATATGCGACGTCACCGAAGTATACCTGCAGTCTTTCTTCCTCTCTGCGTATTGCGTCTTGCTTGCTGCTGCTGCTGCCGCTGCTGCTGCTGGCGTTGTGTTGGTCCTGTAGCGGCCGTACGTATCGGCGGATTCGAATGGCCATGCCTGCGTTGTTGATGATGAAGGGCTGCTGTTCCGTGTGTTCAAAGACGACAAAAGGGCAGTCGTCACTTAGCGTTAAATCACTCGCGTCGTGGAAACAAACGCTCGGATGCTGAGCAGAAGAGGAAGAGGAATCTTCAAAACCAGAAGACCCGCCAAATGCAACCGACTCTGCGCTGCGGCGCAACACCTCGCTGCTGAAAGGAGGCCTGAAGAAACAATAACACAAAACGAAAATCGAAAAATAGCACAAGGAAATACAACGAACTGAAAAACAGCAAAGTGGAAACCGTAACACTGGAAAACAACGCGAAGCGGGAAGATTGTGAAAACAAGTAAAAAAACAAACGTGAAAGACAAGTCGAAAGACCAATTGAAAAGAAAATAGAAAAAATTAAAAGCACGTCAACAAACGAAAAGCCAACGAACAACAAATTGAAAGCGAAACCGAAAAGCAATTAATCACGAAAAAAGTAGCAAAACAATGAATTGAAAAATGGCAAATTAAAAAATATCAAATTGAAAACCACACAATTAGCAAAGACAGCAGACGGCCAGCAAAAGGACGACGGCTGGTCGGCACAAAGAGAGACGCAAATAAACAGAGACAAACGAAAAGGAGATGAAGAGAAGTATAACACAAATGCCGATGACTATAACCAGCAGCGTTATATTAGAGCATAGGGTAGTGCACACCACCCTTGAATGGCGCAAGGAAACAAGCAGAAAAAATAGTTCGAGGTAAAAAAGAGGGGCAAGAAGAGGGAATTTCAGAAGGAGACGCAGGAGCAGATACAGAAACAGAAATTGAGACAAAGCACAGCTTGAGCATGTCAGAGACGGAGATAGAAAAAGCGCAAAAAAGAGAGGAAGAAGACAGGAGCGGAGAAGTAGACAAAAACAGGGACAGAGAAGAGGACGAGACAAACCCGGAGCAGAGAGAGGCAGAGAGAAACAAAAGCAAAGAGAGAAACAGAGAGGGAAATACAAAGATGGAGACAGACCAGACCCAGAGTCAGTGTCAAGACACAAAGACTGACACAGCAGGCCAAGAACAAGAGACCAGGGAAAGGGGAGACAGAGCAGTGACAGAGACAGAGACAACCTGGAAGATCGACAAGAGAGAGCAACAGACTGCGGCGAAGGTGCTCACAGGACAACCCAGGGTCTCTCAGCATTATTAGTCGTCGATCTCTTCTTTGAACAATTTGCAAAAGACATGCGCAAATCCGGACGGTGAAATCGAAACATCGCAACGCGCGCCCGACGGCCAGCCACCGGAGACGCTCCGTACAGCTGCAGCGCCGTCTTCGCGTGCAGCAGCGGAGCCCCCCCTGCAGCAGCACAGCAGCAGGCACAGCACCACAAACAGTAGTACAGGCGCTCAGCGAATTCAGGTAGCATCGACGAAGCATCGGTTTCTGCCGCAGCAGCAACAGCAGCAGCAGGAGTGCAGGCTGTCTGCAGCAGCACCACCAGGAGCAACGGCAAGGGTTATAGCAGCAGCAGCCGCAGCTGTATAAGCGAGAGCCTCAGCAGCAACGTTTGCAACGGAGTGTTAGTGAGTGGAAGAGCTGCGTCTTGCCTCGGGCAGTTTGTGTGAATTCACGCTGGTGAATTTGTCTCTTTGCGTAGTCGTTGTCAAAGGAGACGTTCAGCTGCCGCAGCAGCTGCCCCTGCGCCCCCCCACCGAATTCTGCTGCTGTCAGCAGAAACTCCTGCAGCGGATTCCGCATGTGGTATTCGCGCCGCAAGTCCTGCAGCAGAGACGAAGTGAAATTAAAACAAGGAAACACTGTTTGCTTTTTTGTTGCTCAAATAATCCACCCTAAAAAAAGGCTAGGACGACAAACGCAGAAGAGCAAACAACCACAATTCTCAGCAAACAGTCCAGCAAAAGCTATACGTCCCACAACACGCCGCCAAATAATACAAGCTCGAGATGCACAAATACCGCAGGGAGCAGACATCCACAAATTCAGCAAAAGAAAAAGCTCGCCAGGAAGGAAAAAGACGCTGAAACAAAAGAAGCAAACGAAAGAAAAATGAGTGCAATCCGGCGAACGAAAAGGCATCTGAATCCAAGCCCAAACACGAGCGAATCGACTTTTACTTATGCATACAAAAAACCATGCATCAACCGGAGAACTGAACAACACACGCATCGGTGAATCCACTGAAATGATTGCAGGAAGAGATTAAAGAAAACATCCAAAACGACACCAAATTCGAGGTAAGTACGCAGAAGTATCATTAGCAACGCCATCAACAGTGGAATATCCGGAGCACGGCCAACCACAGCAGAACCCTCAGCAAAGGGGGCAACAGCAGGGGAGCAGCACCATCCACTCAGAGCAAGCAGCAACACCACCAGATGGAGAAGCATTGGCAGCAGCAACGGCAGGAGCAGCAGTAATAACTGCAGCTTCAGCAGATGCCTTACTTCTGCTGCAGCTAGCGCCCTGAGTTCATAAGCGCTTTTTCCTTGTTTCACCAATTCGATCCTCCTTTGCTTGTCTATCTTCAGCACTTCTTGTTTGGCCCTCCTCCGCATCTTCTGCAGCTGCGCCCTGCTAGGGCCAGACGTTGCTTCTGCCGCTGCAGCAGCAGCTGCTGCTGCTTCGCTTCCCACACCCCCCGAACCGCCTCCCCCCGCCTTCAGTCCACTGCCTCCGCCTGTCGGGCCCACCCCTAAAGGCGTCCCTGCCAAATCCTCTCCTTCCTCAGCGCCAAGCTGCAGCATCAGCAGGAGAAACAACAGCAGCAGCAGCAGCAATGAAAGCAAAGGCAAATGCCTGGGCAGGCAGGAGAAAGGGAAAACTTTTCTCCTGACTGTATAAATGCAGCCCGTCTGCACCTGTCCGTACGCCCTAAGCCCTAAACCCTAAACCCTTAACCCCGAATACACACCTCCATGCTCACGGCCATTGCAGCAGAGCTGTCATTGAGGTCTAGGAAAAAGCAGCGCAGCAGCTGCTGCCGCCGCTGTACCAGCCGCTGCTGTTGCCGTCTTGCTGCCCATATACTGCCCCATTCAAAAGCCAAGCCTGAGCAACTGTTGCGATCGCTGCCCCCGCTGCAGCTACTGCTGCTGCTGCTATCGTTTACACCGTCCCGCAAGGCGCAATGCCGCCTGCGCCAATCGACCCCTCCTTGACGCAGCTGTTGCAGCTGCGCAGCATCTGCAGCAGCAGCGCCGGGGTGGAAGACACTTGCAAAGGTGCTCAGATGACAGACAGGAGGCGTCGCCAGCAGAAGCAGCAAAAACCGGAGCCCTTGCTGCCGCTGCAGCAGCACTTGCGTCTCCCTGGAGTGAAGACTTAGCTGCTGCTGCTGCTGCATGCCATGCCTGTTCCTGCAGCAACACACAAAGAACGCGTGCAGATCCCTAAACCTTAAAACCCAGGAAGAGCGAACCTGAGACAAAGCTGAGCCTTCAGAGTCTCGGGTCTGCGGGGCTCACTGTAGAGCGGCAACAGTGTTCCTCTCTAACTCCGCCAGAAGATCTCTGCGCGTTGCTGCCTCCTCTTCAGCTGCTGCTGCTGCTGCTGCTGCTGCTGCTGCCCTTTCTCGCTGCCGCTCGGAGTCGCGCGCTCCCTCTTGGTGCTCTGCTGCTTCATCTGCTGCTGCTTCGTCGGCTGCTGTTGCTACTGCGTCGCTTTCCTTCCACGCCAAAGCAGCAAATCCCTGAGCCAGCACAAAGCTGCTGCTGCCCGGCAGCTCGCCCCATAGCATGCTTTGGACAAACGCGTTCTCTGCTGTTGCTGCTGCTGCTGCTGCTGCAGCCGCAGCCTCCGCCTCAGCGGCTGCCGTCCCAGACGAAACTCGAGGCACCCCTGCAGCACCCGACATCCCTGCTGCTGCTCCTCCTCCTCCTTCCCCAGCAACTCCCAGCGCATGTGTCCGCATTCCGTGGAGTTGCTGCTGCTGCTGCTGTTGTGGGTGGCGCTCCGCAGCAGCAGCAGCAGCAGCGTGGGCATCGTCTACATCCACATCATCGAATTCGAACTCCTGATCCAAATCCCCAGTTGTTTGCTGCACTGATGGATGTCTGTGCTGATGTTGTTGCTGCTGCGCTGCTGAACGGCGGCCAGCCTGACTGCAGCCATCTCGCTGCATAGACTGAGCTTCCGATGCAACAGCAGGAGTTCTGGGCGTTGTTGTTGCTGCTGCTGTTGTTGCTGCCGCAGAGGCTGAAGGGGTTCCAGGGCAGTCGGGCATGGCAAAAAACGCAAGATCTTCAGTATCATTTGCTGCCGTTGCTGCTGCTGCTGTTGCTGCTGCTTCAGCAGCAGCGGCATCCGCAGCAACACTTTCTAAAGCGTCTTCCAAAGCGTTATCCAGCTCCCATTCCTCATCTGCGTCCGCTCCTTCATTTGCTTCTGGTGTTGCTGCAGTTGCCGCTGCTGTTGCCGCTTCGGTCGCTGCTTCTGCTGCTGTAGCAGCTGGTGTTACTGTTGCAGCAGCTGCTGTTGGGGTTGTAGCTGCGGCTGTTTCTGCCGCTGCATCTTCTCGCTGATCCCCTGGCTCCTCGCTACCCTGACCGTCTGTCGCAATTTTGCTTCCGCCCCGGTCCTCCTCTTGATGAGCAGCAGGTGCAACAATTGTTGCTTCTGCTGCAGCAGCTGCTGCTGCAGCACCAGTACTGCTCGGGACCCCATCTGCCGTGCTGCCTTCAGCAGCTGCAGTTGCTTCTGGTATTGCTGCTGTTGCTTCATTGTCTTCAGCATCGCTGTCGACTTCTTCAACCCCCACAGGGCAGTTTTCTAAGTAGCAGAAGCTGCACCAGCAGCTGCTGCTGCCGCAGCCTCTTCCCCGCTTCGTGCCTCCTGGCAGAAAGCAACAGCAAAAGCGCATTCCTAGAGATCCCAGCGTAAACCCTGGCTGCTGCTGTTGCTGCTGTTGCTGATACTGCTGTTGCTGCTGCCAGGGGTTGCAGGGAAAGATGTCATCCGGATTGATGAGCATTGCTGCACACAGCCAACTGCTGCTGCTCCCACTGCTGCTGCCTGGCTGCTGCTGCGCTTGGATATGCTGCTGCTTTCGCAGCAGCAACTCAGCCTCCACAGCAGATGCCTGCTGCTGCAGCGCTCGCAGGCTAGCAGCAAGCTGCAACAGTAGCAGGGGCACCTGCCGTTGCAAATGGAGTGGAAGCAGGAGCAGAAGTTTCATGCTTTCCTCTACTTCTGGGGATAATTCTTTTACTTGCAGCTGTTGCTGCTGTTGGTGCTGCTGTAGCGACCCCCGCACCAACTGCCCCAAAAGAATTCTGTGGCTGTTGCTGTTCGGCTGCTGCTGCAGCAGCCAGCTGCGCTCTGACATCCACAGAACGTCGCTACTACTGCTGCTGCTGCTAAAAAAGGAGGCTCCCGGAGGGGCGCTGGTGTTGCTCTGCAGCAGATGAATTGGCAAGTCCTGCTGCTGCCGCCACCGCCGCCGCAGCGATGGTGCCGCTGCTGCTGTTGCTGCTGTGTTCCCAGCCACTGAAAGGCAGCTGACGGTAGGCAGCAGCAGAGGCAGCACGGAGCCAACAATCGACAAACAATCTGCAGAAACAAGATCAACACAAAAACCTAAATCCTAAACCCAAAAGCACTAAATACTAACCGCTAAATGCGGGCAGGCTAGTCTGCGGAATCCGCTCACGAGCCTAAGGGCTGCTTAGTGCTTAGGATTTAGGGCTTAGGGTTTCAAACCTGGAGGCAGATGAAGGGGAAGCTGCGCATCAAGGGGATAGGACAAAAAGAAAAACTCCGCATGCATGCTGTCGAGCCAGCTGCTGCAGCCTCCATTCAGCAGCAGCTGCTGCTGCTCCCTTCTGCGGGCTGCTGCTGCTGTTGCAGCTCGGAATCTACTCCTGCTGCTGCTGCTGCTGCCTGCAGTAGCAGCTGCTGCAGCTGCATCGGCCGAACTTGCAGATCCATCTACTGCGGCCCCTGCTTCTGCTTCTGCTGCTGTCGCCTTGCCAGTCCTGCGGCTCCTGTTGCTGCTGCTGTTCCATATGGAAGCCTGATTGAGACTCCGAGTCTTAAAGACACACGGAAACGGCTCTGTCCTGGCAAAGGGCGGCCGATTTGCTGCTGCAGCAGCCGCTGCTGCAGCTGCGGCTGCCGTTGCTGCTGCTGGGCACTCCTCTGGATAAAGATAATCCAACAAGAATCTCGTGTTATTGACGTTAAAACCAATGTTACTGCCACTGCTGCCGTTGTTGCTGCTGTTGCTGCTAGTGCTGCGCACTTCGGGAGGAGAGGTTCGAGGGCCCCCCCCACCTCGAGTCCGGCGGGGCTCCGCCGCCAGCATTGGCGTATTTTATGCCTCTTTTGATGCTAGCTGTAGGGATGATCATACTGCTGCCGGTGCTATCCCTGCTGTTGCTGCTGCTGCGGAGTTAGCTGCCGTGGTTATCGAGGCGGAAGTTGATGCTGCTGCCGCTGCTGCTGCTGTTTGATGCTGCTGCTGTTGCTGTAGCTTGTACAAAGACCAAGTGGGTTTTCCTTGTAGAACGCATTACGCAAGGAACCGAAAACCCTCAACCCAAAATCCAAAACACTCTTCGCTCTCGCCCCTGCAGTTGCAGCGGCCGGTCTCTGTTCACTTCGCGTTCAGAAGATTAGAAACAACGTAGAAGGAACTAAGGAATGGAGTGGCATTTGCTGCTGCGGCTGCAGTAGCAGCGGCAGCAGCATCAACAAGAACCTGGACGGGGCCCCCGGGGCCCCCCTACCACTTCGTCTGCCGTGGCCTTAGCAGGAAATAGACAAAAGTAGCAGCCGAAACCCTTCACCCGAGGACGAAAAGTAGAACAACTAGGGTTTAGTGTTTGGGGATTAGGGTTTTGAGTCCAGGGCTTATGGCTTAGGCCTTGGGGTTCGGGGCTACCTAGCAGTCGCCCTTCCCATTTGGGCGTTTACCGCTAAACCCTATGCCCTAAACCATAAACCCTGGACAAGTAAGATTGCTTATGAGCTTTGAATTGCGCCGCATGCCCTATACCTTAAACCGTAGACCCTCATCGCCTAGTCAGGTCAAATGGCCTACGAGCGTCGAGTTGAACCGTAAACCCTGAACCCTAAAGGCTATACCCTAGAGCGTGCCGGTTAAGGCCGTGGCTTCAGCGTTATAATGCCAGTGCATCTTTGCCGAGGTGAAGATACGCCTGGTCTCTTTCCACTGTTTTGCTTGTAGTGCGTGCATTTCACAATAGAAGCTTGTTGTCTGGAGTCGTTAGAGTCGCCGTCTTCCTTGTCTCTTTTTTTTTCTTATTTGTCTCTGCTTATTTGCATTTCTTGACGTTTCATTTTCTTTGTCTGTCCTCTGCTCAGCCTTTCGGCGCGTTTCTTTTCATGGGCTTATTCCCGTGTACAGGCCTCCTCTCTGCAGCGCCATATCCTAAACCCCAAACCCTAAATCCTTCTTTTTCCCTTCGATGCTGCAAGTCTTTGCCAGTGCAGGTCCTGCTACCGCGCGTCCGCCTCTGTGTTTGTATTCTTTTGTCTGCCCTTGCCTCTTTTCTGCCTTTCCGCTGTTCGTTCGTTCGCTTCTCTCTTTTGGGCGTAAAGTAGCCAAGCGGGGTTGGGGCTTGTCTCTCCTCAACTGTCTCTTCCTTTTTAACCCTTCATCTCTCCCGCAGTCCAAACCCTAAATCCTAAAACTGTAGACGCGTTGGCGGCGAAGTCTCCATGCCGCCCCGGCCTACCCGTGAAACCGTGAACCCAAAACCCTTACCTCTAGGCCGTAAACACCAAGGTCTGGGCGCTGCACCTGTATAGGCCTTCGACACAAAGGCTGAGGCGCCGTCTTGTTGACTGCTCTTCAGTGTTTAGCGCTAAGTGTTCCGTTTAGGATTTGTTAGGGTCTATAAAGATAGCGGCGGTCTCTCTGTAAAACCCTCGCGTCTGTTCATTTGGGGTGCAAGTACAACTCATATTCGGTGTACAGACACCTCCTGCACACATCGGCTGTTTTGTTGGCCTTGCCGTGTGGCGATTTGAAGAAAACAACAAACTGAAGAAAAAATAACTGTGGTGTATGCACACCCTCTGCATGCAGGCCTCTTTCGGCTGCAGTTTATCATTTATTTGGCCCTTATTGCCACTTATCATGCATTTATGTATTCTTCTTAAAACTTTAATCGCATTAATTGAAACTTCCGGACAAACCCGGCGGCTGCTCCAGACCCTTCAGCCCCGCGCATAGCTGCTAGTACAGCTGCTGCTGCAATTTTACTGCTGTTTTTCCGTTGCTCTTTCCGCTACGTTGTTGTTGCTGTTGCTGCTGCTGCTTCTCAGGCAGCAGGAGAACGAGATGTATGCCTGTTCGATGCGTTTTGCTTCTCCAAAGCATCGAAGGGGATTCTGCAGAAAGCCTCCGCCCCAGTGACCCAGTTAAACCCCAACACAGACTGCTGCAGCAGCAGGCCATACACCCCCTGACAAACAAATAGGCAGCGAAAATGCATACACCTTGAGAGCGCAATTTCGAAGACAGAACCCGAAGCACCGCGAGTAGCTGCAGCAGCAACAGCAGCAGCCGTAACAGCAACAGCAGCAGGTCCGGTAGCACTAGCACTGGCAGCAGCAGCATTCGCAGCAGCAGCAGTTACTCACGTAATCGCTGGTGTATGCAGCAAGAGGGCCGTCAGATGAGAGGACGTATGGCCAACCTGAGGAGACTCTAGCCATAAACCCTAAACCATAAACCCGATGCTTCCGCTACTGGCCAATCGAGCCCAAGACCGCGATACATACAGGCCCATATACATATGTTTATATGTACGGAGGATGTTTATACGTACTGAGGATGGCGCATAAATGAATGCATATATCTCCATGCAAAAATTTATGCAGGCAGGTAAATATACACACATATATCTATACAAATATACGAGTGCAAGCATATTACAATATACGGACATATATATATATATATATATATAATATATATATATATATATATATATGCGTGTATGCACATATTGTGTATATATGCAAATAATGTTGCAATTATGAGAAGGAGCCTCTCTAACCTGCGGTGAATTGTGCCTTCCCAACTGAGAAAGTTGTTAATGGGTTATCTCTGAAGATGGAAAAAAGTCGGAGACAGCCGGAGGCATCGAGTGACAAAAAACAAAAGTCCTGCCGTCCGGTGTTGAGCGACAGGACCCGGCACCGCTGTTCGTACAGCCGCTGCGGAAACGCACAGTAGCAAACCAGGAAAGATGCTTCAGCAGCAGCAACGGAAGCAACAGCAGCAGTCGAGCGCACACTGCAGCAGATGAACAAGACAGTCCGCACAGAGGCAAAGGGGCTACTGCAGCAGCAGCAGGCGTTCAGCAACAAAGCTGTTGTTGCTACCCAATACAAATATACAAAATAATGATACAAATATATATTATGCATAAAAAATTACACTATCTTTGCGCAATGCATGTATAATTGATATGTATTATAAAGATGATTTAGAGAAGCATGCGCACGTCATAATGGCAGCAACTCCATTCACTCGGTCACACGCGGGAGACTAAAAGAAATAATAGTTGTAGAAAGGACTTGTGAAGGATAGCGCATGCATGATGATCACAATGACAATAGTTGTGTGCAATGAGGATAAAAACAATGTAATCATATTGAACAAATGGAAGCAACTGCTACACAACAGCGTAAGCAGCAGCGGCAACCAAGGCAGTATTCGGCTCCTACTGCTCCGATGATATACTGCTGCTAAGAGAGAACTGAACTTCATATACAAACAAGAACGAGTCAACAAAACAGCAGGCAGGCCGAACAACAGCTACTGACGAAGGGCTTGTCAAACGAAGGGTCCGGAGGCTTGGCCGCCCCTCCTGCTGCTGCTGATGCTGCGTCTTCAGCGTAAAGGCTGCTACGCTGTTGCTGCTGCCGCTGCTGCTGCAGAAGCAATGAACAAAACCTGAAAAACGCGTCGGCCACGCGGAAGGCCAACAGGGTGCGTTCGAACAAAAAGAACGGATAATGCACATCGTTCTGCTGTTGCTGCTGGCCCTGTTGCTGCGGCAGCTGGGGATCCGGGCTGCGGCTAGTGTTAGGATGGGTCCCTTCTGCTGCCCCGTCAGCGCCAAGTACATGCAGCAGCAGTTCATCGTCTGCTCCAGCAGCGCTGCCGCCTGCCTTGGGGCTCTGTGAAAGGCCTCCACCGCGTCCTGCTGTTGCTGCTGGTGTTGCTTCAGCTGTTGCTGCAGCTGCTTCCGGTGCATCCAGAGCCAAGCATTGGCCTTTCTTGACCTTTGCAACTCCAACACTTCCAAGGAATCGCCTTAAAAGATTGGAATTCAGCCGCTTTCTTTTGTTTTTCTCTTTGGGCCTCAGCGCGGCGCCGTTCTGTAGACACCGCAAGAACAAAAGAGGAAGCGACTGCAGCGGCGAGTCCGTTGCCGCTGCCGCTGCTGCTGCTCCTGCTGCTGCTGTGGAGCCCTCAGGACGCTGCGAATCCCAACCCTCCGCGGAAGCAGCAAGGCCGCCTTGCCTCCTCAACAGCCGAGAGGTTGAGCCGGAGCCAGATGCTGCTGCAGAATGTTGCTGCTGCTGAGAGTCCGTGCCCTTGTAATTATCGCAAGTGCCTGCACAGCAGCTGAAGGCAGCTGCTGCTGCCTCCGCTGCTGCTGCGGATTTGCTGCTGCAGAGCCCCAGGGCGCGCGCGCGGGAGGCGTAGTATTTAAAGAAAGACAAGCGCAAGTCAAAGACAGCAATGGCTTTGTCGCCAGCAACTACCAAGAAGAAACGAGAGGAAAAACATGCCTGATGGAGATGCCGAGGCGCTGCCTGCCGATGAACCAAAAACTCTTCCATGTAACTGCGACGAGCAGCACACCAACTGCGACAACAGCAGCAGCAGCAGCAGCAGCAGCAGTTTCGGGAACAGCAGCAGATATCACAGCAGCACATGCAGCAGCAGCAGGCGCAACAGCAGCAGGAGCAGATATTCCCAGTATGTCGAGTCCGAGTTCTTAACAATCCATGCCTCGCGGTGATTTATGCAAGAGTTTACAATTCAGCGTATACAGAGGGCATAGGGTTTATGGATTGTGGAGATTACGCACCCATGACTCTCCTCAACAAGTCTAGAGGCGCCCCGTGCATCAACAACCAACAACCAGCGCGTATTTGCTGATGCGTCGCTGCTGCAGCAGCTGCAGCAGACACACGCCGCAAGAGCAGCAACCCACGGGTATGAATTGCTCATCGCAGTGGTTGCCAGCACACCACTGTGCGTTGTCTGTACATGGTGGATGTGCACTGGCAGAGTGCATGCAAGCAGAGGATTTTGCTTTGGGGGCTACATGCTCCGCGGGCGCTGAAGTGTACGTACAGCACGAAGTCACCGTTGAAGTCCAAAGCCGTCAGATTTGCCGCCTCTACACTCCGCCATAATCTGCAGAAGTACTGCGCCTCGTACCGCTCATACAAATTGCCCTCCTCTACAAGACACCAACAGCAAAACAACAACTAGCAACTAAAGAGCAAAAAAGTAGAAGACAACACGAGATAATGCCAACGGCACAGGCTGAGGCGTGCCGCACGCAGGCAAACGCCCCTCTAAGAGGGCGTTGCCGTGCGTGTAACAAAACAAACAGAGCTTCTACATGCATGCAGATCTTACTCAGGTCCATTATGCAGGCGGCGCCCGTGCCGAGGAGACAGGCGCTATGTGTGGGAGTGAGCTGCAACTGTTGCTGCTGCTGCTGCTCGTCGAGTGTGCATACGCCTGCTGCCAGAGCGCATGCCCATGCCTTTTGTAGCTGTTTCCTCTCTTCGCTCAGGGGTGCAGGAGAGGATGTTGAGTCATCTTGAGAACTTGGCTGATGCTGAAGCTTGAACAGTATCATTGCGGCGAGGTCGCTGCTGCAGTGTTTGTACAGCAGCAGCAGCTGCCCCGACTCGCGGCACCGCCGCAGCAGCCTCATATTCATCGTTACAGAGTTGAAGGCGCTGCGACTGGCAAACAAGGACAGCTGCTCGCTCCCCATACACCGCAGCGACGGCAGCTTCCACTGCACCAGCTGCAAGCTCCAACACACGCACAAACACCAAACCCTAGACGCTAAACTCTCAACGTCAGCCAATAACTACAATATCCCATGCCCGCGAGGCCAATTCATTCCTAGAAGCAAGCAGCAGCAGCTGCTGCCGCCACGCAGCAACAGCAGCAAAGCAACGTACATCTGCTGCTCCTATCACTGCCGTGAGGTACGTGGTGTCTGTCCAGCACATCGCCACGCCGTCGTCGCTGTATGCCTGAGGCAGCAGCACCTCCCCTCTTATAAGGCCTTCCTGCTGTTCATCCTGCTGCTGTTGCTGCTGCTGGGAGGCGGTAGCAGGCGAGTAAAAGAGCGAGAGCCGCCCCAGTAAAGTGCCAGCAGCAACACCAACCCTCCTGTCAACATTCAGACAGACGAAAGGGTCGCCAATCAAACAAGGTAGTAGTAGCTGCTGCTGGCAGGCCCTCCTGCTGCTGCTGTTCGCTGTAGCAGCAAAGATCCTGCTCAGGAGCCGGGAGAGCCGCGTCTCCTCCCGCTTCCCTCCTGCAGGGGCTGCAGTGCAAAGGGGCCCTGTGCCCATCCTTGCGCTTGCTCCTGTATTTCTAATGGTGGCGGAAGCTCGGGAGTGGGGGCTGTTTGTGCTGCTGCCTCTGTTGCAAAGCGTGGAGCTCATAAAGCTGCGGACGCTGCTGCAGCTGCCGCGGCTGCTGCGGCGGCTACTGCTTTTCCTGCTGCTACAGCTGCTGCCACTGCTGCTGCCTTTTAAGCTGCTGCTTCTGCTGCGAGTATCAAAGATCGCAGGAGTCACCGGGAGAGCCGCAGTGGCGTCGTCGCCTTCTGGTTGCCGTACAGCGGCTGAAGAGTGAGGAAGCAGAATTTCCGTCTTCAAGCCTACAGAAAACACGTTTGAAGGATCTTTAGAGGGTTCATTTGGGGCTTTCGCCGCAGCTGAGGGCAACACCCCTCCATGGCTAGACAAGAGCATTCCCAATCACCCTCGCCACTGCAGCTGCTGCTGTTGTTGGAGACGCAGCTTCGCTTCGGGCTGTAGATCTTCCTGCTGCTGCCGCTGCTGCCTCTGATGCTGCCACTGTTGCTGCTGCTGCTGCAAACGGACTTAGCGCCTGCCCACCCCAACAGATGCCGCCCTTCATTTGGCAGCCGCTAGGGGCCCCAGGCGGCAAGTTTGTGCTGCATTAAGACGAATAGCTTTGAAATAAGTGCCCCTAGACCATATGCGATTATATTTTATTTCAAAATGAAGTAGTTGTGTGAATATTGAGGCCGAAAGCGCACCAACCCGGACTGCCGGACTTTCATTTGCAAATAGAACGCGCACGCGCAGCTTCAGGCAGAGAGAACCTGAAAAGGGAATTCAAAGAGAATTAATGAAGTTCCCAGAGTTTCCCTCTGATCATTTTACCGATATTTCCTCAAAAGCGCCGAAATGATCCGTCGAATCTCAAATCATGATCGAAGTCGTCGTCGGCGCCCACTCGCGAACGGGTATCCCGTTTTCATGATTCCTTGTGCGTCACTTACGCCTCATTGTCATTAAGATTCATGTTCTACTGAATTGCATCAATTAAAAAGGCGTTTTGTCATTATTATTGTGTCTTGTGGGAAGCGACTGGGCGGTGTCTTGGCACCATGGTGAAGGTGGACGGCGCAGCGTCAAATCGGCCTCCGGGGCTTTCAGGGCCCCCCGCTTCCTCCTTTGGGGGGAAAATTGTTCTTTATAGTAATTCGACTGCATTTCTCAGGCACATCGTACTTTGCTTCCTGAAAAGGCGCCAAAAATAACCACGAATAGTTCCAAGGTATTGAGCGTGCTCTGCCTAGAGCGGATGCATGTATTTCTAAACTACGTCCGTGTTGTATACTGAGGGCCAGGGAAGTGTTAAACAATTGTCTATGGCGTTGGTGCATGGGTGAAAGGGGGTGTTCGGCGTGCTTGCTTGTGGGGTCTCCTAGCAGCACGGTTTGCAGAGTAGAGTGGTCCGCCTGGCGTCGTTCCGTGTAACGAAGATCGTATCAGAGGACCATTTTACCCTGCAGTAGAGCCAATAGATTCAAGGCAAGTTCATAAGAGGGGGCAATCGTTTCCTCCAGTCCCCGGGAGTACGGAGCACAGCAGCAAAGGGCCTGTGGTCGGTTAGGAGAGGAGCAGGCCGATCATGATCTGTACTGCATCCCGTTGCAAGTAATGTTCCAAGGCAGACCCACGTCTAAGCACAGCGAAGCCACCTTTCTTGCATTCACTTACTCTAAATAGTTGTGAAACACTCAGTTGGCCCCTTCTTGTGGCGGTCCAATTATTACACAACCGCCTGCTTCACGCGCAGCGGCCGCGGGAACAACAGTCATCAAGCTTAGCTGAGGATACTCATGACCAATAATAGGGTCAAAATACTTATGGTATGAGTATCCTTAAAAACGGCTGGCCTCCCCTACGGTCTACAAGTTTTTTGAATACGGAGTAGAACGGGCGGGGGCTGATGAGAAGGCGACTTGTCATGAGTTACAACGCACAACCGCAATTTACCCCCTTGAATCTACACTCATAACCTCCTCCCCTTAGCGTAGCATGCAAGTTATTTAGACAGAAATCGAAAGAGAGCATCGTCAGGTGCATGACGCCGTCTCCCGCATTCGCGCCCCTTGCTTTCGACAATCCCCCCTCCTTAACAACCGATTCACGCGACACAGCGGGCAGGCGATGGTTTCTTAGCATGCCAGTTGCTTGATCTAAAATTCGCCTGCTCCTTACACCGTATCAAGGATAGAAATCAAACGCACATCTGTATACCTCCTCAAGTACCAGGCCGCATTGGGTGAAAGCACAGTAGAACATTTACAAGCTTGCTAGCCTGCATATCATGCTAATTTGCATATTTGCTTTCCACGCATATTATTGCATACTCTGTACTCAGCTCATGAAAAAGGAGAAAATGGCAAGGAGAAGCAGTCAGCTGACACTGTACCTCCACGAATTTAAACAAGCACTCAGGTGCCAAAAATCGGAGAGGCCATGCGCTGGCAGGGGTAACACATGCTGAGCATTGCAGTTCATACAAAACGGCCTTTCAAAGTGTTGAATCCTTTTTGTGCTCACTGCTATACTGCTTAGGTCCCAATGCAGGCTCTCCTGTCGCATCGTCCGGAGATGTTGTGCCTTGCGTTGGACCTGAAACTTGATGTTTCGGCTCTATTTAAACAGCGAGATAAAGGCATCATTATCCCTATCCATTTGGTTGGTTAATGAAGCGCTTAAATGCCCTCTTAAATCATTGGTATTTGGAGGGAGGAGCCACAGCGTGTGCAGGAATTGCCTGCGAACAATTGTGCGAAAAACTGGCAGCAACCGAAGAGTTATTATGTTCCGTGAAAGCAAGCACGGCATTTAAACAATATTAATAACGAACGGGGTGAATTCCCCCGTGGGACCGTCTGCCGAGCAGGCTGCCCGCTCTACGTTCGTACCTGGTAGGGGCCTTAATGCTACTGCCAGTATACAGCCGAGAGAAGCATGAAATAAGACGAAAATAATCTGCAAAACCGCAAAAATGTTGGCTCAATTTATTTGGTCAGGCGTCTAGTCTTCAATTTTTCCAGTTTGGACACTCAGAATTGGCCGTTGTCGCTCCTCTAGCAGCTGCGCGCAGCTGCTCAGACGCAGGCAAGAAGCGAAGACTCTCTTCGTCGGGGAAAAAGAACGAAACTAACTAACCTTATCTAAAAAATATATTTAAGTAGGAAATTCGAGAATGAAAATTCTTGAGTGGTTCGCAGTTGAGGCAGTTGAGGCGACGATTCCCACGCACAGACCGGGAGGTCACCCCGGCTGTTCGGGACTGTATAGAAGGGGGCTCAATCTGGAAACCTGGGAAATTGAATGATTGCTCTTTCAGTGGAATATCCCCTCTTTTATTTCTTTTTTTGCTTAGCTGCCGAAAGAGGGGTGCGCAGCTCTTAAAACAACTCAATACCATCATTCCTCTTCAGGGAATGTTGAGCGGCCATCGGTTTGTACCGGTCAGCATCCAGAGCAGATGTCGCCATGTTTTTAGAGATAGCAAAAAGTGGAAATCCATTTGGTTAAATCATGGGGTGTACTCATGGTGCAATAGTGCTCCGTTCGTGTCGCCTTTTGCCACCCTTCCCACCCTCCCGTCTTGTTGGGTTGTGAATGGCAGTTCCATCTATTGAACGTATCCCTGGCAAGGACCCTTAGAGGTTCCATACTTTGGGCCTGGAGGCTCAATAAAGGGCCTTGTGATGTGAGGTGCTTCATCTGCACAACTGAAACCTGCAGAGCTGCAGGTCTATCGCAAAATGGGGCGGCAGAGCCGTCGGCTGGACTCAGCTGTGTTGTTCCATCCAACAGTAGCCCCTCTTGGCAAGTCCCATGGGAGCCCCGAGGACCCCTTTGTACCTGGAGATGGAAACTCAAATGCTGCGCAAAAATCCCGGAAATCATTCATGCGCGACAATGGAAGCTTCAGCGACGCGGCAGACCACTACGCTCAAGTTGATTGGACGCCTTGGGACTGCTGCCGATGTGCTGCAGAGACACGCGATGCGATGTTAGAAAGGGTTGCAGATGCATTTGGGAGATATGCACTGATCGTTTACCACCACCCTATCAAGGTAAAGCGTGCTGATTGTCAAGGGCATCGAGCGCTGGTTCAAGCGTTCAGTATTTGGGGCTAATGGTTGGGGTTGCGTGCTGCTGTGTGACGCTTGAGTTTTCAGTTCATTGTGTTCAGCGCGTTACTGTGCTTGAGTCTATCCGTCGGTTTGGCATTCAAAACGAGTACTACAGACGGCGTCGTGCAATACACCATTCCCAACAGCCAAGCCCAGCAGGCACGTTTAGAGGCTCAACTTGGCACCTTCCGAATACCCTCGTTATGCTGCATTCAACTGCGATTTCCTGAGCATGCGCGTTGTGTGAAACTGCGTTTTTTTCGCATTTCTTTTGGCCGCTGCCAGGTCGTCTCCGTGTCTCGTTTGCTATCTCAGTCTCCTGGTGAACTTGCTCGTTTGTCCGTTTGTCTCGTGGTTTCTGGCTTTTTTGCTTGTTCGCCTCTGCAGTTGCAGTCCAAGTTATTTGGTTTCCTCGTAAGCAGTGGCATTTTTTGTTGGTGCCCTTCCATCTGTCTATTTATTGGGCTTTGTGAAGACCTTCTTGCGTTATTCCAGGATGCAGATGAATACCGCATGCTATTTCAGGGCAACGTGACCCGCAGTGAGGTGATCCTGATAGCTGCTAACGACGGAATGAGCAACTTGCTGGAGGCCTCATTCTTAAATGCAGTTTGGGACATGCATATGAAGATATTGGACATCAAAGTGACAGCGGAAGAGGCAGGAGACGCCCTCGCCGATGCAGCGGTTGCCGTAGCGGAGACTGGCGATACACTGGAGCTTCCCAGCCGCCGGCTGCAGTCTGCTGAATCCTTTAATAGCGAAAAGCAAAGTCAAAGTAACCAACAAACTACTGACATACCGACAGCGAATCCAAAACAACAGCAGACGCTGGTTCCCAGGAAGCTCGCTTGGGCTGATCCAGCTGCACTGGTGCAGCAGCACTTTGTGGAGCAGCAACTCAGGCAGCAGCTGCAGCCGCAGTATCAGCCGCTGCCCCAATGGACACCTACAGGTGGTGGGACACGCAGGCGTCGTGAAGGGCTGGCTGCTGCAGCTTCCGCTCAGCAGCAGCAGCCACAGCAAGTATTTTCCGCCTCGCAGTTGCAGCAACCAGACGCTGTATGCGACCCTGAACGGGAGCTGCCGAGAGTGCGGATAACGGGTTTAGCGTGTAGACCCCCTTTAGCAGCGGGAGAGTATGCATTTCAGAATTTGTGTTCCAAAGACTCCACTGGAGCCTGTGAGGCACCCGACGGTATCATCTTCGCCTACGGACACAAACGGTGGGACGTGGGAAAGGAAAGAAAAACACGAATTAATTTGCAAATCAAATTATACCTAAAGGTAGCAACAACAGTTGACAATGGCAAGCATTAGTTGTACATAACCACGAATAATGATAAAGGAGCTTTTAATATCATGACCTATGAGTCATTGTGCACTAATCTCGTGCTGATGATGCAAACAGAGGTAGAGTAACTCCTGAGCAATAAGGGATAAAAGTGTAGAAAGCTTTAACTTGGGGGTTTAAAGCTAAATGGGCTGCTTCACAATTTAGCTCTTTCCCTCTTGTGCTTCTCATAATCCCAAGTTTGACCATCTCTCCATTCACCTGTCTGGCTGCTGAAGCTTCGCCTCGTCTACTCTGCTTTACGTCGATGAAATCTTCTTTTTAGTCCTTCCTCCGAAGCAAAAGCTCATTCGTTTGCACTTTTTTGCCCTGTGGCGGGCTCGTTATATGGTGGAATCATTTGCATTTGTTTTCGCCGCTGCAGCGTCAGTGCGGCTGCGGCTAATTATCAGTCATCTCCCGTACTTTTTCCGTATTAGTTCAAAATCTGTTTAGTACTGTTCATGCCTCTTCATTGTGCGCAGAGAGTTCGGAAGTATGGTGGAATACCCCCTTCACACTTCCTTTCTGCTGGCTCGAGCCTTCCCTACAGACATGCTATTGTCAACAAAGGGGCTTCGCCTGACGCCTTCAGGCCGCTACGCCACTGCGACTGCCGCCCTGTCTCTCAGGCAAGCAATCGAAATCCTCACCCATGAACCCTAATAGCTAAGACAGAGGAGTGTTAGCAGCCGCTGCAGCCAGCGAGTACTCACGGCCTTCAGCCATGCATACACGCTCCACCTCAGTGAAACATCCTGTCGTATCGGAAGGCGTAGTTCACCTTGCTCTCCCCTTGCTTTCGGCGTCCCAGGGAAGCGAACCGCACCAACAACTGAAAGCAAAGGTTCCAAAAGCTTATCAGCGCCAAGCGTGTAGTTGTATTTTATAGTGTTCACAGCTGTCTCTGCTAGGGCAATGATTTACGTAGTTGTGCAACAGACCTACTGTTTAAATGATAGTGGGTCTGAACGGTCATTTAATACTGCCGATGCTTTTTCCAGCGTCCGCTACCATAAAATTCCTAGATGGCTTTCGTTTGGTGTAGCGCTACGGCTTCGTGTTGAGGGTTGCATCCTGTTTGGAAGTTTTACACATTGGTCACTTACGTTTCGTATTGTCGTTTTACGCTAACAGGTGTTCAACAGGGCTGCTGTGTCTAGGTATCAAATAACGGATGATGCGAAGCTGCGGCCATTTGCCTTGCGGTGGGAAAGGAAGCTACAGCAACTGCTGCGGGAGGAGAGGCTTCCTGGAGCCAAGATGGGGCTTAAAACGGAGAGGAGCCTCTGTAAGACGTTCCCGCTGTTGGCTGCAACTAAACCCTAAACTCTTAACTAAAAATGCCGGCAACAACGCGGCCAAAGGCAGTACTAGATTTCACCATCAATGGGTCCAACTTTAGGGTCGGAGTTTAGTAAATGCACTGCGATGCGGCCTCGAGGGTTTAGGGTTTATGGGTCAGGTTTTCAAGTGTTTGCGAAGTGCTGCAGCTGACGAATTGGCTGCGAGTTCTTCCGCGGGCCCTGGTGGAGAAGTTGTGTTGATAGCTGCGGCGGGTTCACTGATTGGGGTGTATGTGTGGGTTGTAAACTTTTCCCGTTCCCATTTGCGTTCGAAGGCCATCGTAGCGTTGACAGGTGCAGGAGCCGCACTTTTGGGGTACCTTGGAGGGGCAGGTGTGTGCTTTATGTCAGGTGTTGTTAGCACAGGAACAGCTGCTGCAGCTCCGTTGCTGGTTGTTGGCATAGGAGTCGATGATACCCTTGTGCTACTGCAGTCGTACAGCCTTACTGTGCACAAGCGCTCCGCAGCAGACCGCCTGCAGCTGACACTGCGCGACAGCGGTGTGGGTATCACTATCACGACCTTGACGAACCTTATGACCTTTGGCATCGGCGCCTTTAGTCCCTACCTCGCAATCAAGAGCTTCTGTCTCCTGTGTCTCTCCGGCCTCTTCCTGGGGTACATTATGTGCCTCACCTTCTTTCTTGGTTTCCTCGCCCTCGACGCCAAGGCAGAAGCAGCTAGGCAGGTCATGGCCATCTTCCGGTGCTGCCCCATGAAGATAATGAGGGACTCCGCTCCCGTCAAAACTCAGACGCAGCAGCAGCTCCAGCAGCCGGACCAGCGGCAAAGAAGACAGATGCGTACGCTCAAAGGCCTGCCCATGCTCCAGTATGTCGATAAGACACGCTTGCCTGGGGCAGATGCCTCAGCACTGTCCGCCTGCGCCAGCGACATATTCCAGTGCATTACCATGCAGGTGGAGGCAGCGCTCCAACAACAACAGCAGCAGCGTCTCCTCGAAGCGGAGACGCGCCGCATGCGGAAGCAACAAAACTCCAAGAAGAAGAAACAGCCCAGAAAAAGCCCGGCGAAACGCAGGAAAAACGCAAAGACTCTCCTCACTAGCACCTCTTCAGGGAGAGAGGACAAAAATCAGGACAACACATCCAGTGACTCAGATACCTGCAAGAAGAAGACACGACAACGGAAACAGCCAGCGAGAAAAGCGAATGCCAGGAAGAGGAAACCTGTGGAAACCAGCAGCACCAACAAAAACAACAACTCCTCGAGAAGCAAAAGAAGCAGCAAGAGTGGAAGCTTCAGGAGCAGCCGCAGCAGCGCCAAGAAGCAGCAGCAACAACAACGGCAGCGCCGCGCGAAGGCCCTCAGGCCAGCTCTCAAAGGGCGCCGCCAGCAGCAGGAGCAGGAGCAGGAGCAGCAGGAGCAACCGAAAGAAGGTGAAGCTCCTGGCCCTGGATTGGGATCCCGGGGTGCCTTACAGGCAAACAGCAAACTACCAGCTGCATCAGCAGCAGCAGTAACAGGTGTAACTGCCTCAGATGCAAACGCGAACAAGTGTGAATCAAAAGCAGGTGGTGTTTCCGTGAGACAGTTAAGGCCTCGAAGGACCACAGTACACTTCTACAGGAAGACCTCCACCGCCTGCTACACAGGAAGCCTCCCCCAGCAGCAGCACCAGCAGCACCAGCAGGAAAGCGAATGGCGGGACCAGGTGGTGGTGAACTTGTGCGTGGGTTCTGGATCGGCAGTAGTGGTAGCAGCAGCAGAAGCAGCAGAGGCGGCTTTTAATACCACCGGTCGCAGCTGGTCAGGGGAACGGATTGCTCGGCTGCAGCTGTTGCAGCGGCTTGGGAGCGATGGCCTAGCTGAGCCTCAGGGAAACGTAGGGAGGGGCCTGAGGAAGGTGCTTGTTCGCTTCGGGGCTCGCCTGCTCATGAACCCCTTCTTTAAGCTCATGCTTCTCTTCATTTTCACTGCTGTTTTCGTGACTGCGATCGTCGGTTGCTTCAAAATTGAAACTGGATTAGACCCTAGGAGTCTCACGAAAGACGGCACGATGCTGAAGGTGACACGCATACACACAAACAGCAATGAGACCCTCACCCCCCTCCTTAATTAAGTCTTCGTTCAGCTTCATTATTTCGCGGCGAAAAACACTAGAAGGGGCACACGAGCGAGATAAATGGTTAACGGCTTGGGGAGCAGTGTCTAGACAGTAATCCAGTTTGGGGAATCACCAGAGGCTGCACTTTCTCAGTGCACCCAAAGGGTTAAAGTTGAAATAGGGTATCCAATACAATGAAAGTATACCAAACATTCTGCGAATCCGCAACTAGAAACTGCAGCTCTTTTGTGTCTTCTTGACTTTGCGCTCCCTGGTTCCGGATTGTTCGTATTTGTGATTGCCCCTGATCGTATACATATTTCTCTGCCTGGTCGCTCTCTGTTAGAACGGTTTGCGTTTGTTTGCCCTTTTGCAGATCCCTCCACTTATTCGCCTTTTTGGGTCTAGTTTTCTTTGAACTATTTTTGCCTCCCTTTCTTTGCGGTTGTCATTAGAGTTTCTTTGACATGCAAGAGAAATTCTTTGGCACCTACGGTGACCCGGTGATGGTCTTCTTCAGCCATCCAGACAACGTCTGCTCAGCGGCGTTCCGAGTGAGACGCTACAGCTGAACTAAGGCAACAGCCTCTGCACTTGGCGGATTTTGGTGCACGAAAACCACGGTTCTATCGATAATTCTCGAAAAGCACCATGCAGGCAGAGAAAAAGCGCCTCAGCTGGGGGAGGGTTTGCACAGACAAGGAGTGAGCTTTTTCGGGATCCCTTTTGCCCCTGTCTGTCCAACGTGCACTGCAGGTGGAGTATCAGAAGCTTCATGAACGACTGAAGCAGCAGAGCTATACTATGGAGCTTCACGACGGTCTTTCCATGTTTCTTCAGTCGCCTCTAGCTCGCAATGTACCCGAACAGAGCGCCACGACATGCATGCAAATGTATGCCGAACTCCGTTTCCCCACCCAAGTTTTGCACCATTAACGCACCAATGCAGTGGCATATATTTGCAGATGAACACTAATGCATTTGGACTAGTGCAATCCAAAAAAATATCTTCCTATTGTTGGCCTTCTTCGCTTGCATATTCATACCGGCCCTACTTCCGAAGCCTTTTCTGATTTATGCATTACATTTTCAGTTCCCTGCTTGCTACCTGCGTTGCGTTACTAGCATTTTGTTGTGTTGCGTGCATTATGTTGCTCTGGCTGCTTGCGAGGTCAGGCTGTATGCCTGGCTTCAAACTCCCTTCGGCTCGAGCTTCACCGCCTTCTTCTCATGGAGCAGCGGCTTCAGGCTGCGAGCCTGGGCATTGGTATTGGTGCCCAAGTACTTCTCCAGCACACAGGAAAACAGTGACTTCATGCATCAACTGAGGTATTCCAAGCCCTCGAACTTTGGGCGCTACCCACAACCCCACATCATGGCTGTTGCTGCAGCATTTACAGATTTGCCCACGATGTGTGCAAAGAGTACTTGCTGAACCGACTATCCTTGAGCTATGCCCCTGAAGGCAGCTTTGGCTGCAGAGCAGGGAGGCCGAAACCTGTGGAAGTTTCTACGCAGCTTGGACAATAAACGTTTGTGCGCGGTGTGTTTCTTCGTGATGTGACTTCTGCTACTTAGGGCGGATCTGGCGAAGTTTCCGCTTCTACGAGGAGCGGCCTACAACCGGAATTTCGTTTACTTTGAAAGCGACGATGCCATAGTACCCCAAACTGTCAGCAGTTTAGCCAGTGCGGGGTGCGCAGTGATTGTTGTGAGTTCTTTAACTCGGATAACTCTTCACACAGACAGAGATTAACAACGACTTTGGATAAGTGGTTTCCACTTGCACTCCGTAGGAACAGTGGCAATTAGAGTGTTACAACTGAAAACAGTCAACGGCTTTTTTCGAAACGCCTATGCAAGCAGATGAAACAGACGCATTTGGTTGTGTTGAGTTCGATTATGTCCTGCTGCTGCATTACAGGTTTCCCTGTTCCTGCTACCGTCTCTGCGCGGAGCTCTGATTGTAGTTGCCATACTGCTTGTAATCGACGTTGTTATCTTGGGGTTCATGGCGCTTTGGGGTTTGCCCCTTAACTTGCTCACAATGGTCAACCTCACCATATCAATAGGTGGGCCGAAATGCAGTTGAATGAGCATTGAAAGCAAGCACACAGTAGGTTTTTGTTGCCATACAATGCGTGGGCTGAAATACAGTTGAGTGTGCATTGAAGGCAAGTACAAAATATTTTTTTGACGCCGTCTAAAGGTTGCCAAATGCACTTCAAACACAAGCCAAAAATTCATTGAAGGGTTACACTGAAGAAACTTGAGCACATTTCAGGAGATATAAGGCGCACTGACAGACGCACTTAATGCATACGTGAAGACAGTTCGGTTGCTTCCCCCAGAATCTTCAAAAATACCTTTAAAAATCACGCAAGTGAACTAAGTAAAAATTTAGTGAGCATTCAACGAGACAGTATTGAGTATACTAATGCGCGTCTACAGGCACAGGCGCCGGCCAGTCCCGTTTTCCGATGTGCTGCAAATGTCCTTGCGGATGCGTTGCACACGAGAGAAACTTGTTTGTGGATCGTGTTACTAGACAGCCAAACGGCTGTCTTTGAGGGGCCCTGGAGAGGCGTATCAAATGTGGTGCATGTGTACATTTTGCGGACAGCTGTTAGCTTTCCACTTGAGATGTTTTGTTTGACGTCTATTGGCATGCTTGTGTTCAGGCTAATGCATGCATGCCTACGCTCAACACTTTGTCTTGCACTTCTGCCTCTGTTGTTCTGTACGGTTGTACTTGAAGGGTTTTCTGTGGACTACGCGACGCACACAACTCACGCATTTTGCCACTGCATGGGCCAGAAGAGAGGGCTGCGGGCATTTGAAGCTGTGTTGCTTGTTGGAGGTCCTTTGCTGCATGGCGCTTTGTCTACTCAACTGGCGGTTATTCCTCTGGCCTTCGTCGACAGTCCAGTGCTTTCCGTCTTTTTCAAAATGACAACTTTAGTGATAGTCGTGGGGGTTACGCACGGGTTAATGCTGCTTCCCGTTCTGCTTTCCCTCATTGGCCCCATGCAGCAGTCACAGCAAAAAATGGTACAGCAGCTTCTGGCGCTGCAGAAGCAATATGATCGGCTGGAGGAGCATATAGTTGCATGCGGAGGGAGCAGGGAAAATCCAAATCTCAGAAAGCAAAGGAAAGCCCTACGCCGTCTCATTGAGCAGCAGGAACAGCCGCCGGAGACGGCTAAAGATGCCTGTGTTGAATTCGCAATGGCGCTTTGCCCTAATCACCCCAAAAATGTATTCTTGAAAAACGAACAGGTCCGCAGGTGGGTGCAGCACGCCAACTAGTGCTGTGACCTCTTAATGAGAAAGGGAACATTTGAAGCACAATTGCACTGGCCCCCATAAAAATCGAATATCTGGAGAAGAAGCTCCGCTTGTCGATTGCAAGCTGAACTTGCAGGCTTGGGAAGAAAGCCACTCTTTAGAAATCCGTCTACTCCTTTGTGCACGACAAAACAAAACGCCAGCAACGCCTTTCGTTTTGTTGAGGCGTCTTCCTGCATGTGCAATACTGGGGAAAGCCTTACATGCAACTGTGCCGCTATTGACACTTAATCTAATGGTGCTTCACGGCAAACTCCTCATCGGTCAAACACGTGCAGCAGGACAAGCATCACCCCCCCTCCCCCTAAAAACAAGGGGGGCATCAATAGTCGTTGGGGTTCAACGTTTGCTGTTTGGGAGTTAACTTGAAAGGTTTCAATTCGATGGTGCCTCCTTTTTCTCTCCTTAGTTTTCCCTCCCCGTGTAGGCTGCAGATGATCGGGGGAGGCTGCAGGGCGCTGCGCTGCTTTCTTTCCCTTGTGCTTGCTGCGGAGAAATAGGCACAGCTGAAGTAGGTTGTATTTCTTTGCCTCTTTGTGTTCCCCGTCAGCCTTTTTCAGACACAAATCAGAATAGTTCCTAGGTCTGTTTACAAGTACTTGCTCTCCCTCCCGCGTCTCCATATAAGGACAGGCAGCAGGTATCTGACATGAGGGAAGATGCATCTGCACGCAGAGGTCGTAGAAGAGCTCTTACCCGAGAGTGGAAAGTTGAAAGTTCCCGTTGTTTCCCTTCGTAGCTGGGCCGTATTCTGAACGGTTGCAGCGGCAGCAGATTCAAGAGTTAATGCGGCAGCTCTTCCTGCGGTTCCTGGTGCACCAGCTGCTAGGGGTGCAGCAGACGCAGCTGCAGCAGCAGTTGCCAGGATGTCGTGCTGCTGCTGCAGCAGAGAATGCTTCTGCTGCTGTTGCAGCGCCTTTGCCAGGAGCTCAAAAGGACCCTTTTCCTTGCATGGCCTCGAAACTGCTTCGACTCCTGCGTCTACCAGACGCTGACATATTCGTGCATACCCCAAACTGGCGGCTACATGAAGTGCTTTTTCTGCTGCGTTTCGCTCATACACTGCCTGGTAAACAAATACAGGAGCGTGGAAGCAATAGCCCCGGCGTCAAATTTACATGTTTCGAGCAGCTCCTTGGCTGGAGTAGCTGGCAGTTACAATACGACAGACCCTCTCCTCGAGGCTCACAAGTTGCAACACTCGTCGGACGACTACAGTAAAGTTGCGCAGCACGGCTTGTTGCAGCACTTTGCTAGCAATTGCCGAAAACAGATCCCTCAGCTGCGCCGCAGAGGCTGCATGCATTCGGGGCTGTCCAGTCCTCTCCTCATCGTCCGGCGGCGTTCGCTGACACTCAGGCTCGTGCAGGCAAATATGCGACAGCTCCTAGGCCAAGCGCGCAAATATTTATTTCTCGGAACATATCATTAACTTCCGTGAATACTTGCCACTTAGAAAACCGGCACATGCTACTTCGATGGTTTGACATCTAAATGCTGAAGCGAATTTCAAAATAGAACGTTAAGTTTGTTCCTACTGCCACAGGAAAGCATCCAAGCTCCATACCCGCCCCATCACTTGCCCACTTTTCAAATACATAGTTACTTAATATATCAAACAGTGCTTAGCCCGGATTAGCTAGCAGTACGCACGCTGGCTTCGCGGGCTATGCCTGTACCGAGCTGCAAGTATACTTGGTAGGCTAGTTGCACTTGCACCACGTTCAAACGCAACTGCGGGTAGTTACCTCTACAATACTGACGGCAAGAGGTTCGTCTGCGTCTGCCAAGAGTCTTTCCAGGCCGCAGGCTTCTGCGGCAATTTCCGTTGGAGCCTCCGCAGCTGCGAAGCCGATGAGCGCTGCGCATGTATCTCGTCGTCTCTTGATCATGTCCCTAGCAGAGGTGCACAGGCAGGAAGGTTGTTTTGTTTTGCATATTCAACTTTCTGGTATGGCCATGCTCGCTCAATCGTGAAGCAAATGCCTCTTCTTTCAACTCTATGCCTCACACCATAGACTTTACATCAGGCGTCGAGTAGTGCGATGTAGCGCTTTTAACGGGAACTGCACGCGTACAGAGGCTCGGAGATCCTTGCACTGCAGTCGGCGCACGCCGCACGTGAGGAAAGAGCCACTGCTAAGCCCACCGGTGTCCATCTGTCTCCCTTTGTTCCTTCTTCTGTTCCCCCAATTAAAACAGTTGACGGCGCTCGTACCTTTCCGGCCTGGCGACGAGCCGCTGTGGAGCAAAGCAAGCAAAGCAGGCAACACTGGGGAAAGTAGCAAATCTCTCAAGACAGCAGAATATAGATATATCTCCAGGGAAACCGATGGAGAGAGATACTGCTGCAAAACACACGGGCCTAAGAACGGCGGGATGGAAGAAATCCTGTGCCCGTCGTACGAAAGGACTACTGCAAGAGCCTGCGGTTCGATGCGAATAAGAGAAAATGTTGCTCTATCTCGTATGCATGCTGTTGTAGTTGAGGGCACAAAAGTGGCCACTAGCAAACAAAATGCAGAAACAAACAACAAACCCCACTCACTTTCCAACATGTCGACTACTTCAGGTGGAGGATCCCCGCAGCCCCCTGCAAACCGCAGCAAGTGCCGTTGCGCGCTTATTTCTTGTGCAGATCGAGATTAAGTAGGCTATGCATTAGCAAGGAAAACGACTATAGGCATGTAGAGTGTAGGAAAAGAGATCAGATGCCGTCGTCATTAAAGGTACATGGGCTTTTGTGCATCTTATATACAGACTTTTGCAGTTTTATCCACAGGAACTCTCCGTCCTGTGCATATTATAAGTGCCATCTCAACATGCGCAATCTCCGTGTCGTCAACTGATTGACATTCTGGCAGTTTTAGACTCCAGTTCTGCAATGCATGGTTTGGGAGTTGGCATTTAAACCCGTTTGCACATTTTCACACGTTCATGTGGGCCGGCTGCCAGCGTGCGCAAGGGAACTCGCAAATCGCTTTCCTGTGATAATTGTCTGGAGGGCTGCTGCATCTCGTGCGCTGAAGACTTGTCGCTTGTTCGACTTCGGGTCCCTGGCCGTTCCTTTGTGAAAATCGTTAGTTCCATATCGTTTAACATGATGTTTGAATACATGCAGAAGTGATACAACAAAATCGGGGTTTCCCTGTGGAGCGCATCAACATTTCATCACGCAAGACAACCCAAAATGAACTGTTAATGATCCTTGTCACTCCAGTGGCGATAATACTATCACCCACCCCATGCCACTGTTGGGATACCATACGGAGAAGAAACCAAAGCACGTCTACTGCTCAACGTAGCGCAGCAATGGAGAAAGGCATGGACTACGGAACTTGGCGACGGAACACGCAACCATGCCGTATATTAAAAACTTGGAAGAAAATACAAAAAAGAGGGAGAAGTAGGGCTTGCATCGATGCGCTTGCACAACAGGTAGGCATTAAACTGCTGAAAATTGCAACATAACAAACATATCCGCTATGCGACAGCATGCAGGCGTTATGCAGCAGGCTCACTCCCAGTACAGCAATGTGCAACGGGGTGACCTGCGCCTCTGTCTCCTCGGCATCTTCAGCCCCCTTCCCAAGGCCTACACAATGGATCGCACAAACGACTCTTGCAGATTTCATACTTATGCCTGCCGTCCTTCACAACAATACACCAGGCATGGCTGACTCCAGTAGCAGCAGCAAACCTTGAGAGTCAACCATTTCAAAAGATACCTACATATATGCACACCTGCAAGCAGACATGCATGGGCCAAAAATCTTGTCAAGTGCATACGGAACTACCAAGCACTGCAATAGGTTCACAGGCAGCAGGAGCTCACAGACGGTGCGAAGGCCACAGAAGCGAACGGTTTTGAGGGGGTTTGCACCGAAGGCCAGAAGAACCTTTACAGTTTCTAAGTCCTGAGAAGAAACTCAAAGCGCTTTGGCATGAATAATGAACTAAGGTACCTTCTTGAAAAATGGGGCCGCATAAATCTGCATCCAAGCGTGTCTCCACGTGCTCAGCAGGGGAAGTCCTGATGCATCTCTGCGCCATGCAGAAGTACTTCATTGTACTAATGCCGCCGTAAAGGCCTTATTTCTGTTGCAAGCTTGAGGAGAGAGCGACAGAGAACCTAAAATCACGAACTGCTGCTGCCCACTTGCGGAAGAGGCATGGCGCAGCATCAGCTTGTGCCTGCCTTACCTGTCCGGCGCAGGCGATAATGAGAGGCGTTCGCTGAAGGGGAAATCCCTCGTCCTTAAGATTCACAAGCTTTCCCGCTGACCATCGGCAAATATCTCCAACCAGCGCTGCAGAGCCGCTGGCAGCGGCGAAGTGCAGAGGACTCCACTTCAACTCTTTTGTCAACGCGTCGATGCGACTCCCAAGATGAAGCAACAAACGTGTAAGAGATCGGTGACCTCTGACTCACAGGCCAAGGAGCAACATTTGGGAACTGTCTAAAGCCATTCAAAAAGAATCAGTGGTACACAACGTACCAGCGAAGCCACTGGCACGCGGCGCTGCCCATGCTGTGCAGAGAACAACAACGCATAGAGAGCCCCAACATTCGCAGAAATAACTAAAAAGTTTTCACCATTTTGTGCGCACCCGAAGCAGCTCAAGTGGATTGGCAAGAGACCCGAATCCCTCGCAAAAGGGGGAATGAGGCTGTCTGCCTGGCGGTCCTGCTGCAGCTGCAGTTGCAGCTGTGGCAGCAGCTCAGGTTGCAGTTGACTTTGCCTCTGTTCTGAAGGCTTGTAGGCATATAGACGCAGCATGCCGCACACAGCACCGGTTGCTGCAGTCTTGAGGAGGGAAGACGACGCATCAAAAGCGCCTGTTGCTACAGAGGCGTCGGCCCCCGCTTGCAGCAGAAGCCGGGCAATCCGTTGTTTGCCACGAAGACAGGAAATGTGCTGCAACAATGCAGAATAAGCTCCACACAGTTCAGTTGCCGTTTTATCTAGCATGTGTATTTCCCAGTGTATACTGTGATGCACTCATGTGCACAGATCTGCACGGAGTTAAGTATGCACATGCACAAACATATGTGCAGCCATTACAGTAAGGGTATGAATACGTATGCATGGCTTCACAAACTTATATCGCCGCTATTCACACAGAGAAAAGACTAACACAGGAAACTGCGTACAAGAGGTGTCCACCCCTCGAGACCCTGCCTTTTTGCCTTTGCATCGACTTGCTGCCGCAGCGCAGCAGCTTTGAGTGCAGCTTCTGTTGCCTTGCTGTTGCCGCAGCATTCGGCGAGGAGGTGCAGCAGACTACTGCCAGAAGCAGCAGCGGCAGCCTCCTCGGGGCACAGGTCTAACAGTAGCAGAAGCACTCTGTCCCGCCCTGCGGCAGCGGCACACTGTTCACACAGACCACATGGCAGGCCCCCCACAGAAGTCCACACGCCGCCCTGCCATTAACTTAGAAGGAGCGACTCCACATGTCTGCATTATTTCTGCTGCAGCTTGTGTTGCTGCTGCAGCTTCAACATGCGTTTTTTTCTAGGGCAGATGCAGCCCTTCGGGAAGATGTGTCTGCCGTGACAGATCTTTTGCTTGCGGGCTCCGCTACTGCGAGAATTCAAAGCCGCACTTTAGCTGGCTTTGCAGACGCAGGTACGTCATTTATACTTTTTCATTGAACAACTGTTTCTCGCAACAGCCAACGGGTATGAGTGACTCAATGAAGGGACTCGTGTACAGCTTGTGGCTCCTTCTGTAACTGAGGAGGTAGCTATGAGGAAGGTACAGGCTTTTGCACATTGCATGAGTATAAGTAGCATATAAACATACATATTATATATATATTATACGTTGTCTCACGTGGAACGCTGTCCAGCTGTCGAGTTCAGCAAACTCTGCAGCTGTAGCACCGTGGCGGACGAGTTCTTCGATAATCTCTGTGGATGCGACAGCTGCTGCCAGTCTGCAGCAGCAATCAACAGGCAGCAGGGAAGGCAGCCGATTGAACGCAGCAACGAACAATTGGTCTCCTGCCGCAAGCAGCAGCAGCTTGCGGAAGGCAGCAACAATTGACACGTGAGGACTAGCAGAACAGACAGCGCAATGCATCTGTTACGTTTCTACATTACAGGCAGCAGCTCTTCTTGCAATGTGCGCGCTCTTAGGATGTGCCGTGCCAAACTGTTGTCTTGCCTCAAAGGTGTTCTTAGCTCAGGTCCTTCTGCTTCCGCTATGAAAAAGCTTGCGGAGACTCCGACGGAATGCAGCAGCTTCTTGACGGTGGCTCTGTCGCCCCTCTGAACTGCAAACATCAGGTGAGATCCCTCAGCCGACAGAGCAGGCACCCCGTTGTTGGGCTCGGCAGCAGAGGAGAAGCTCCCCGATGCCAACACAGACTTTATCGCTGCCGCTGCTGTTGCCGCTGCGGCAGCCTCTGTAGATGCTGCCGCTGTTGGCATTTGTCCTGAGACCAATGTGAAAGGGGACTCCCCGGACTTTACGCGCCGTCCAGTGAGGAAAGACTGTGGAGTTGACTGAGTGCAACACTTGACACCTCAGTTTGTCTGCATGTATCATCCATTTCCGAAACCAGCGCCTGCTGCAGAGGACCATGTTGAGGGTGTATGTCGTCTGTCCAGGCTACGGCTAAACATCTTGAACAATGCATTCAGCCTAGCTACCTTTTTGCAAAATAAAAGTTGTGTTTGCTTAAAGCTACCTTTTAGGCATGATTCCCAGATACCTGTTGAGTCAGAGTATGCCAATTCCGATAGGACCCCATAGCTCCTACGGGGGCCGCGGTCGTCCGCGTTTGCATCTTCGTCAGTGCAACGAGGGCTCGTCGAGAAAAGACTCCCCTACCCACCCCGAATGCTTCAACTGGGGGCCTCAGGGAAGACGAAGGGGTAGAATAAGTGTCGAAATGACGAGAATAATATTATATAGTTAAGGAAACCCTAATGGCGTGCTGATCCTACCTTACATTGGAGAGAAACAAAGTGCTGTCTGAGCAGATCGGCTACCTAGCAGCTACAGGGCGCAGCAAGCCAACCCCTCCTCGTGCCTGAGCATTCCAAAAAACGGCATCCTGTTGCTGGAGAAAGAGAAGGGGATTTGACTATCTGACCGTATGCATCTCTTTTTGTGTGTAGAACGGAAGGTGTCGGTGAGCCTGGCCCGTCCACAGAACTCTGTACGGCGAATCCAGAATTCTTTGTTTATATACAATGACTGGATATACATAAAACTGAAGCTCTGTGGGGAAAAAGGTCGACTGGGGCAATCCGCAGGGAACGAAACCATGCGTGAGCAGCTGTGGCTTTGGTTTCGTGCACATCGGTCGATTGAGCCAGAGTCCTTGAGATTTTTCGACGCGCGACAGTGGAATCATGAATTTTCCGTTGTTATTTAGAAAATCCCTAAGGCGGATGGTACTGAAGGGCAGAAATCGCGTTTAGGGGCTTCTCTTTTCTCCTGCATGCAGTCGGATTCCTCGTTTAGGCACGAGCGCGCTGCAGCTTGCGCTTCCCAGCACTCAGGCAAAGGGCAGTTCGGTGATAGTTTTCTCCACCATATACTCTCTTACTTCAGGTTAATTTGATTTATCTTTGTGTTTCTGTAGGTATGTTGGGTTTCCATCTCCGGTTAGGAGACAGACAGCGCCACCTTTGTTCCCGGTGAACTCCGGAGGTCACCCTGTGAATGCAATGCCGGAGGGCACCGACTGTGCAATGAATGCCTGAAATACGCTGAGAGGCATCTCAACTATTGCATCATCCTTTCGATAAATTTGAAATAACCGGTAAACTCTGTTCAAAACTGTTCCAGCAAGACTGTAACCACAGAGGCTTCGTGTGGCATTCAAAGGGGCTGTCGATGAGATGTCTTGGACATTCGTATGAAGCTTTTACGTCTGGAAACTCCCCATCTGCCCTAAACACATTTGCAGTTCAACACAAGGTTGTCTAATGCTCTGCTCTAGCTGAATATCCCGTGTTTTCTCGAGTGGACCGCACGTGCAAGTCTTGTGGGTTTGCCCCTCCACGCAGCTGCTGATAGTGTTGCGGTGTACTATTTTATGATATGCTATAGTGCGGCACGCCAGCATGCACTGTCTACTGTGTGTACTGTTTTTATCTGGCGTTAAACGGAGGCGTGGCGTTGATCTCATGCACAGCGTACTTCGAGCTCTGGGTGCGTCTGTTGTTGCCTTCCCAATACTTGGAGTAGAAGAGACGACTATTCGTTGAAGCAGTCCATTGACAGGGTGGTCCAACTAATATTCCATCCAAGCAGGATATTCATTATTTACGGATGAGAACCTGTGTTTGAATCGACATCTACAGGGCAATGATGTTGAACACTATTCAGGCCTGGGGAGTAAAACAAAGAGTAAATGAATTACAGGGGATAGAACGAACGCAATCATGCGTGGTGAATCACAGAGATACGCAAACCAATCCTGAAGCAATCAACAAACAGATGGAATCACTTCAATGAGAAGTGTTGATTGAAGCTCCAAAACTTGGCCGAAACCCAAGCCTCGAAAGCTAAGTAAAGCGGCCAGGTTCAATATGCGAGGATCGATTATTTTTTAACCAACTGAACATCGGAAGAATCCTGGGGAATACAAAGGAAAGAGTAGCTAGACCAAAACAGGCTTACCGCTCTTTTTCGTAGTGAAGCATGCCCATTCAAATCTGCATGTGCTACGTCGGCTGAATCTTACTCCTGATTTTGGCTATATTTTTCCCCATAACACAAGGATATCTGATGATACTAAAAATAAAGATATATATATATATATATATATATATATATATATATATGCACCTGCAACCCATAGTGCAGCGCAGGGGAGTGAAGCGCCAAGGCAAGTTGCCGTCACTCTCGATTTTAACTATACTGTAATATGCTAAGAATGTATGTAATCTATTGGCATTGGGAGCCAATAGCTTGTACGGAGTTGTGCGAAGTCACTGAACCAAAGACAAAATGAACCGCAATACATAATCATAGGCAACGCAACCCCTTATGTGGCCCACCCATCGTGCCTGCTGATTTTTGTACGTAATTAATTATTCCAAAAATACCCTTTAGGTTATTACTAGATTGAAACGGAAGCATAGCTGTTACTTGCACACGGAGAGCACAATTGCGACTGGCAATAGCATAATCGTGATTGGCAGGAAGGGAGTAATAAATTGCTTACTTTTGACTTGTATAGTTAACATAAAGACTATAATGATGATTTACAGGAAAACTAGGGGAGTAATTGTGAGATGCAGGAAGAGCACGTTTACCAGCGCAGCTCTGCGCAGCTTCGGGCTGCACGACAGGATAAAGAATACAACTTTGACGTGCAGGCAGAGTATAATTAAAATGCTAATCTAGGTCCAGTAGAAGAGCATTCCTGATATTATATATTTAGTTTTTTTTTGTATCTAGGTTGTTCTGTCTCGGCTGTTTTCACCATATTGCTCCTCCCTCTTGACGGGGGCTTCGATGCGCCCCGTGGTCCTCCACCTGCATTCTTCTGCTGCTTCCTCATCTAAATGATGTTGACCTACTGAATTACTTCATTGTACGTTGTCAGCTAATGGTTAAGAATAAAAGTTAACGGAGTCACAAAAGGAATACCCATACATCCCCGAACTGGAACCAGTGGACTTTCCCACGCCCGAGCATCCCCCTGTTCGGCGGAGAATCCGCTTCGCTCACTCTAATTGCACATCGACTTTGATTTCGTTTTAAGTTTATATCGTGTGTATATTTTGATCCCTTTGATTTTGCCTTAATAGCAGACCGTACCAGTCCGCTGGGTGCTCTGTGGTGGCGCTGCTTTGGCTCCCGCGCCGTGCGTGTGCAGGTGCGGGTGATCTATTGGCGCTGCCACATGTTCGTTTGAGTTGAAATACCTTAATAATTTGGTTCTAAATTGATTTTCTTCTTAATAATAGCTGCACCCACGTGCAGCTTATGCATACACCTTTTGGTTGCTCGATCCGAGCTGCGGCGGCCTCACCGGTACGATTTAATGCATTTTTCGAGGCTTGTTGGAAGACGTTGGTCTCTAGTCTTCTTTTGAATTTGTTTGGGAATGAATTCCCTTTGACGCCGCAGATCTGGCTCCGCGAGTTCTTCATTGCCGCCTTCCGAATAGAGGGCAATGAGGCGACTGTTTGCCCGCTCGTTGCTGCTTTTCTTCTGCCTTCTTTACCTTCACTGCTTCTCAAGGGCATATGCAACCCACCCTGAGCTCACTGGACACTCGGAATGGAGTTTACACACACCTGAGGGACCAAATGTGTCGGAATCAGCTGTGGATGCTGCAGCACTCCCTGAGGAGCCACAAGTCACAGACAAAGGGGGGAAGTGGGGTAGAGAGATGCAAAATGCAGCAGACGACAGCAGCAGCAGCAAAGAAGTCACCTTAAGACAGCATGGGCCGAACGGTTCGAGGCCCGCTTTAGATGCCTCCTCTCCGCTTCCTTCCCCTCCCACGAGTGGGGACGACTCCTTAAGTGGATCATCAGAAGCAGCATCACCTGATGCAGACGCAGCCTCCGAAGCCTCCGAAGGAGCAGTCTCAACAAGTCATCCTGAATCACCTGAGGCGCCTGAGGCGCCACCCCTTGATGAGGCCATTACAGCAGCAAATTCGCCCGTCTCCAGTGGCAGGCCTGCTGAGGGTGCAGACGAGGGCCTTCAGCAGCAGCAGCTGCGGCCTGTGGGTCAGTGGAAGTCTGCCTTACAGTCGAATGGGTTTCAGGGAGGCGGCGGGACTCTCAAGGGAGGACCCCAGGGAGCTGCAGAAACGGCAGCGGACAAAGAAAACAAGGAGAATAGGAACACTACGCAAGCGGCCCCACTGACTTGCGCCGATTTACCCTGTGGGGAGGGACAGCTGACGTGCTCTGGGCCGTTTAGAGGCCGCTTTCTATGCATCTGCAGGCCAGGGTTTGTGCTGCAGCGCACCGGAGGGCAGGGGCGGTGTGTGGACTCCAGGAGCAGCAGCAGCACCAGCACCAGCAGCAGAAGCGACGACGTTTTAGGCACCGGAAAGGTTCAGGGAGGCGGGGGGACCTCTCATGAGAGCAAATGGACCATTCTGCTTGCTATTTTGGGGGCAGGCGTTGGCGTGCTGCTGCTGCTGCTGCTGCTTTGGGGTGCTATCTCTTGGCATAGGATCAAGAAGGACCCCATGCCTAAGAGCGTCAATGAGGAATTCTCTTCTTTATTAGATGAACAGTCCAGCACCAGAAGTTCTTATTCTTACAACAGCAGACAGAGACGCAGAAACGAACTACGGTGGGACTCCTTCGAGTCCGAGGCTGGAGCAGCAGAAGAAAAACAAGTGAAAGTATAAGGCATCGTCAACAAGACACATGCACTTATTCGACGGTCTGCTTGTTGGGGGGATTCTCTGCTGCAGGTCGAAGGCGCACGACTCTCAACCCGTTAACTCTACACGCTAAACCCTAATTCCTGTATTTGCTACTGCGGCCAATGGGGTTGGCTGCTTTTCTCGTTCTGTCGAAACCCGGAACTCTAAAAGCGTTCACTATAAACCCTAAACATCATGCCTTAGAAAAGGAACGATGGCGTTTGCTTTTATGTCTGTTAGTGGAAACCCCAAACTCTAAACCCTATAAACCCTAAACAGCCTTCGCTGCGTTTGTGGAAGGTGGTTAGGCAATGATTTATCTTGAGAGTCGTGCTGCGCGTAGGCCCGTTGGTGGTCGAAGCGCGCAATGACATAAGCAAGAGGTTGCACATTAAATAAAAGCAAAAAACTAACAAATAATAACGACAACTCGCATGCCAGAGCGTACAGCATGCACCATACCATGTACTTCCTCTGTGCTTTTGTCTGGAACTTCCCCTTGGGGTGATTTTATTTTTATTGCATTTGGTTTCCACCTAGCCACTCCCTGCTATTGTTGTAGGTGGCGTGCGTGTCGATGACAGACAACAGGTGTACGCATCCCTCAGAACATCACTGACATGCAAATGAGTATAATCGAAACGCGTTCAAGGAGGAGCAATTTGAATTCCACAATGTAATTTAGAACTATAGTACTACAGTACAGAAAGTGCACCACCAAGTCTAACGAGAGGGTATAGGGCGGTGCTTGCAGTGTGGATTTGTCTAGCTACATCCGTTCGTCTTCTGTATGCACCATGATTCTATTTATACTATAAATATTCCCCACTTAATTTAGGAGAGTGACTGGTAATCTGTTTATGTGGGTGTACTTCCCTGTCCCCGCCATAGAGACGGCGGAGGTGTAAGTATATTTGCAAAGAGGAGTTACGTACAACTGCGATGGCGAAAGTGTCTGAGTTGGTCTTGCAGCGAATTAAATGATCTGGATTTATAGAGAACCTTAGAGTACTGTTCATAGAACTATATTAGAATAGGTAGGTCCAGCTTTTTAAAGGCAAAGCACGTTAAGAGAAAATTGAAAAAAAAAGAAGAAACAAACGGCCTACCCCAACGACGACCAAAAGAACAAAAGTGCCTTGCATGCGAACACTTGTGCCTCCCGCCGCACGCGGAAGACGCCCCTTCCCTCTATAATAGAATTATGTATATATATACCCCTTCCCTCTCTAATATAAATATATAGATATGTATATACCCCTTCCCTCTATAATGTGATTATATATATATATATATATATATATATATATATATCTTAATGGAGGCCGTCTTGTGGGAGATGCTGCAGCGCTACAGCGAGAAACCCATTTTACAGAACATACGAATAGCTGAGGAATATATATTATAAACAATACATACGCATGTATATATTGTATAGTATTTATATACCGCATGAATGTACATATATAGATATATATCTTGATATCATATCCTGTATGTGGCGATGTTTTTATTACATACAATGCAACATATGCATACATATAGATGCATATTTTAAATAAAACTGTATTTAGCATTCGCATGCTGAGTATGCAGCCTTTCTATTATATGCTTGCGCTTCTGTAGCCAGAAAAGCAATACAAACTCTCTCTCTCTTCCTCTCTCTGTATATATATATATATATA